CACGCGGTGGCAAGTTAACAGATTATAGTGATAAGTTTTTCACCATCATTTAACGTGGTCTGCAGGTACGGCGAGTATGCAGACCTGTGTGGTCTGTTGCACACATTCATCAGACCCGCAGACCGTCTGCTTGTTGCTGGCTGTGGTAACTCCACTCTCAGCGCAGACCTTTACTCCCTGGGCTACAAGTTAGTGCTGGTCTATTTACTATAATTTACTACTATACTATACGTCACTACCATACACTACTTACTATTACCTCCTCGTGTTGACTTTTTACGATTCAGTTGAAGTATTGGTGTCTGTAGGATTAGTTGTTGTCAAGAGCATCTACACGTTTGAAAAGTCAGGGTGCACGTCATCTCAGAAAATGGTGAGACTTGGTTAATACTTTGTAATTAGTATAGGTTGGCAGGATTTGTTCCGTTAATACTTTGTAATTAGTATAGGCTGGCAGCCTGGCAGGATTTGTTCCTTTAGACAGGTTTCATTAAAGAATAAAGACCAGAGAATTTGTTTTATTGACGATTTTCTTATTAGTTTTTTCAACATATCGAGCATTTTTTGTTTGCTCAGGTAAATCGAAAATCAGGGTACTGATGGACATTTTTATTTTGTTAATGACGTTTCAATCATTCATTATCAAGAATCAAGTTAAAAGGCGCATTGAGTGACAAAATTTGGGTCGACCGTCAACATAACACATAAGTACAATAGCTATCATGTTGAAATGTTCATGTAAATAGGAATTAGGATTTAGGATACTAGTCAAAAACAGAATTGGTTGGAAATAATGCCTAGTCACAAAAATATTAAGATGAACAAAGATCAAAACACCAAAAATTACTCCAAAAACAGTCTCAACTCTCAAGGTTCTGACAAATCCAGTAGCTTGGAGCCTTGGAGGTTTATGGCTGGCCCAGGCTGGTGTCCTACCCAGGGCCCAGGCTTACTACCCTTAATGATGAGATGAGGGCCTCAGCTATCGCAAGTCAGTTGGCGTAATAATATGTTGTAATTTAATATAGTCCTAGTCTAGCAAGTAGTAGCTGCAGCGTTGAAATTTATTGTAGAAATATGTAATTTAGTATCTGCAATAATTTTCAATATGCAAGATTAATATTAAAATTCATAGTTCATACTATGAGAAAAATAATTATATATTCAAATGATATTGCAATGCCAATGGAGAGTTGAAAAACTTTCTATCTCTGCCAAAGCCTAATCCAGAAATTAGGCTAAGTAGAAATTTAATTACTATATATATTACTACAAGCATGTAATAAAACTTTAGGTATTTGTCATCAACTACGTGTGGAATAAATTTACTTTATGAGCCCTGACTATAGCTTTTATGCACTTTTTGGAGCTGCAAGATATCTGCTAGATATACCTAGTACATTCTCTAATATAATTGAATAAAGTTTAATATTAGTCCAGCATATTCCAAAGTTATCAGAAATATTTTGATTTCAGTAATAACTAGGAATTTTCCAATCCTTGGGACAAATTCACAGATAGCTAATCTTAAATATCAGGCAGAATTTTCCTAATATCATTAGTAAAACTATCAGTTTGCAAGCACTGGCTCAAATGTGATGCGCCCTCTTATTTTTCACAAAGTTAATTTGGCAAGTGATAAAAATGGGTGAAGTTGACATCAAGAATGGGGAATTTTATCTCATTCCCAGGCATAGTAGCAAACTAGAGATTTTTTAGAATCGGTTAATTTTTAATTTCCTTATCTACTCAAGATTTATATCTATATCTTGTGTAATGACTATATCTGTATGACAATGCTAGTATCCATGATACTCTAAAGGCTGGTCTACTTATAGGCCTTAAAATTGTATTGGAGGAAGAGTCTAAAAACTCTCTGCTTTGCCAATATGTTCCCAGGCTGTAAAGTACAGCCCTAGATGGAGAAAGTCCTATTTTTTAAAGATTTTGCAGCGATATTTTCATATGTATTGAATTATTAGGGCTTTGCTATATTTTCATACATATGGCGGCAGTGGGTATGAAATCATGCAGCTCTAATGTATATATTTTTGTTTAATTGAAAAAATTGTGATTCAAAAACAGGCCATTTTGCAAAATGTTTAATTATCTTTAACTGATCAATGTGTATATTTATTTTCCAGCCACGTTTCAAAAAGACTCGGAAGTTTGCAGTTCAAAGGAAAATCCTCAAAATGACTGATGCCAGATTGTAAGTAAATTAGCATTATTGTTGTTAATTTTCTGACCATTAAAATAGAAACCAGCTTGTTAGTGTGATTAATCCTCCTGTTGTCTTCCTTTGCAGTGTACACCATATGTCCTTGGGGTATAGGGTTGAAAATACACATCATTTTGACCTGAAGACTACAGGAGAGTTGAGAGGAATAGCTAAATCATGGCATTTATGAAATGCTAGTGAGACCAACCAATGTCTATCTTGTGTTTAACCTCTGTATAAAATTATATTATATTTTTTTCAATTATAAGAAAAGCTAGACCAGGCTTACAGTTCACTAGAATGTACCCTTTCTGTTTTTTATTTGTAGGTTATTGTTCTTGAAGTAATTTTTCTTAATTAAGTCATAGCTTCTAACATTTTAAAAATATTTTATAATAATATTGTTTCAGTAATAATCCTTACTTTATTGCAGAAAACCTGAAGACAGAGTCATCAGAAAGAAGAAGAAGGATGAAAATGATATACCAAAATATGAAGCGTGAGTCCATCCAGTATTTGATTTTTATTTCTGAATGTTATTGCATTGTAACATACAAGTATTAAAAGTGCCATGTATGACACAAGAAATTCCTTGCTTGTGTAAACCATTTGCTTGGTGGTATACCGTAAATTAGTTGATAAAACTTCATCATAATTATTTAATTACAAAAAAGGATTTATATATATATTTACATCATTGAACTGCTCTATCTTATTTTTTTCAGATGCCTATAAGCTGTACTCATAATCTTACGTCCATTTGGAAAAAGGTCAAATTATTATTTGTATGTACTACACTAGATTTCACAATGAAAATAGAATAACAACTAACAATTTCTCTTTACAGACCACAGACAACTTCTGCCCTCTTCTTCAATTACAACACCCAGCTTGGACCACCCTTCTTAATATTACTGGACACAAATTTCATAAATTTTGCAATAAAAGGCAAAGTGGATCTTATTGATGTGAGTTTTATTATTAAGCCACCTGGGCCTATACCTTCAAAAGTAGCTAAGTGAACGTAAGTACTTACGCTCTATTTTCTTGTCTATGATTGGTGGATTTTGCTGAAAGGCCGTCAATGATTGGCTGATAAACTTACAATGTCTTAACTTTTTTTTTAAAGTATAGGCCCTGTTCCCCTTCAGAATTAATTTTAGACGATTATTTCAGAATGAGATTGCTTGCCCTCAATTTAGATTTCGCATTTAATTATTAATTTTTTTATTTATGCCAATGGGGCTCCAGAATTTAATTGTAATAACAATTTAATGATTTTTAAGCTGTAAGATCTTGATGAACCTTGCTGTTTCTGTTCTTTTGATAATTGCATCTTATTGCATTTGAAAATGCAAAGAACACTTGGTTATAATTTTTCACAGTTTTGTTACTATGGTACCTGAAACATAAGTTTGAGCAGAATAGTTCAGTACTTTAAAAGCCTTTTGAATATTTTATTCCTGAAGTTGTTATTAATTGCAGGGTATGACAGACTGCATGTATGCCAAATGTATACCTTACCTCACTGAGTGCGTGAGAGGAGAAATGGAGCGGCTTGGTGAGCGCTACAGACTGGCTCTCAAAATACTCAAAGATCCTCGCATCAAAACTCTAACTTGTTCTCATAAAGGAATATATGCAGATGACTGCATTGTGGAGAGGGTCAGAGAGGTAGGTGCTTACTAGCTCTTATGATGATCCTTTGCAAGGTGAGTTATTGCAGCTTATGGCTTATGAGGCACGTAGTTGTGTTTGGTGCACATTTTGTGAGGTCCAAGCACAATTGTGCTTGAAGTTAGTGCAGCTATACTCGTATACTTTTTCTTTGTTTCTAATTGCCATTGACCTAACATAATAAGAACACGAACATTAAAAATAAGTGAAATAATATTGAATCATAAATTAGACATAGATCTTACTCTGTAACAGGGCTTTAAAAAATAAAATTTAATGCTTTCTTGTGTTTTTAGACCAAATTGACTAAAAATAGTATGTGTGTGAAGATAATTTTTTTGTTACTATACCGAGAATTGTTTGGTAACATGTATTGTTAATGATATATTGCGGGTTGTTTCCTTACTGCCCCAGTAATGATGTAATCATGATTGTACTTTATTATTGTGTTGTGCAGCACAAGTGCTACATCGTGGCCACGTGCGACAAGCTCCTAAAGCGATTCTACATTAATATGATGATTCTACATCAATAATTATTATTGTATGGTTATTCTTCATTGATTTTTGTTCTTATTGATAATCTCGCCCACTACTCACAATGTTATTGTGTTGTGCAGCACAAGTGCTACATCGTGGCCACGTGCGACAAGCTCCTAAAGCGATTCTACATTAATATGATGATTCTACATTAATAATTCTTATTATATGGTTATTTATCATTGATTTTTGTTCTCCGTGATAATCTTGCCCACGACTCACAATGTTTGTGTTGTGCAGCACAAGTGCTACATCGTGGCCACATGCGACAAGCTCCTAAAGCGATTCTACATTAATATGATGATTCTACATTAATAATTATTATTGTATGGTTATTCTTCATTGATGTTCGTTCTTCGTGATAATCTCGCCCACGACTCACAATGTTTGTGTTGTGCAGCACAAGTGCTACATCGTGGCCACATACGACAAGCTCCTCAAGCGATTCTACATTAATATGATGATTCTACATTAATAATTATTATTGTATGGTTATTCATCGTTGATGTTTGTTCTTATTGATAATCTCGACTACTACTCACAATGTTACTGTGTTGTGCAGCACAAGTGCTACATCGTGGCCACGTGCGACAAGCTTCTCAAGCGCCGCATCAGGAAAATTGTTGGAGTCCCCATCATGAGCGTCGGCCAGCGCAAGTGCGTGATATCTTCTTGTCATTGCTCTTTATTTTCTTGTCATTTTTCTTCCTGTTCTTGTCATTATCTTCCTGTTCTTGTCATTTCTTTTTTTTTGTAATTTATTTTCCTTTTTTTGTTATTTCTCTTCCTATTCTTGTAATTTCTCTTTCTGTTCATGTCATTTTTACAAAACTTCTCTTTCACTTCACTTCTTGTTGTTTGTTTGTTTGTTTTTCTGCTACAAATCTTATACTCGATATTCAACACAATTCTACCAGTCCAATCAATCAAAAATTTTGCACACTTAAAGTTGGAGACAATGCTTGAATCAATTGACACAATAAATAATTTTGAAAAATTGAATTTTTTGATATATGATGATAAAATTATTAATTTATTGTACGTGTGTAACATCGGAGACACTGGCTTCTTTAGAAGTGTTGTCTTTAAAAATTAATTTTAAAATGCATATTATTATTCTCTTTTCTCTGTTCTTGTCATTTCTCTTCCTGTTCTTGTCATTATCTTCCTGTTCTTGTCATTATCTTCCTCTATTCCGATGAATGACACCTTTTTTGACTTATAGCTATGGACGGCTTTTTTGGATTATTAATTAATTAATATCAATTATTTATTTATTGATTGAAGCTTTCTGTCTTCATGAACATATTTTTATTATATTTGCGAATGATTATATGAGATTTAGTAAAGTATCTGATGGCTATACCCCACCATGACTCACTTATGGTTTGTCATTCGCTACAAATTTGTCAGTGCCTGCGATGTGAGAAATGAATATTTTAATTAAATTCTCAATAGCATTATGATGTTCCTATGCATGCTTTTTAATTATCTTAAATGAATTTATTGGTGTGAGTTTATTTTTATTTTTTATTTTGGGTAGCCCAAAAATGAATTATTCTCTATGAAACTTCTATTTAAATGTAAATTTTCAAAGACAGTTGATGGCAAGGAGTGTCAGATTTATGTTTTATTATTAAATGAAGCCACGGAATAACCTTTCTTCTCCTTTAGGCGGTGAGAGAAAAAGAAGTTATAGCCTCACATATAATGATTGTCCAATACTTATTCTCATCATTCATTCACTGATTACTGATTCTTATTCATTTCATCATTATTTTCCTACAGGTTCGTCATCGAGAGGATGGGAATGGGAGTTTAGTTAAGCAATAAATAATATAATTTCTTGTGTTTTCTTTAATGCCATGTAAATAATATTTCAAAATTCATAAATACAGAGAGGTAGTCAAGTGTATAATACTTGTCTTGTATAGCGCAACTTTTGCGGTAGAAGAACGACTAAAAGCAATGCGTGTTTTTTCTGTTCTTTTATCAATGAAGAGACATTTTTCTGCTACTCAATAACCCATGTGTTATCAAGGTTGTCAGATCTCAGCATCTGTGATTTTGTACCTGAGCGTAATAATGGTTAGTTGTGGTTTGAGTTGGTATGTGTAGGCAGGTTATTTGTTACACGCTTGTTATACCCTTTACACTTGCAGTTGAAAGGTTAAGTTCTGTGTAAACTGGATTCCTTCCATCACCCTCCTTTTTAGCGCATTTTCTCATTCATGAAAAAATGCACTATTTTGCTCGCCATGTCCGTCTGTCTGTCCGTCCGTCCATCTGTTTGTCCGTCCGTCTGTCCGTCCGTCCGTGACTTCAAGTTTTCTCCGACGAAAAAATGCGCTCTCTGTCACTCACTGCAGTGAGTACTGAGTTATATTTTTTTCTAGTGTCTTCGTTTTTGTTGCGGTTCATATGTCTCGACAATTCGTCTGATATTTTCACGTTGGTTCCAGCTTCATGATGATTTTGACTTCACAATCACTTCCCTTGTTATCAATAGTCATTCACTTTATTTCATTTAGTCAGAATTCGCGTCGCAATCGCATACTATAATCGTCCTGTAAGACGGTCATGTTGTTACGCTGTCTCCAAGAATTGTTATCGCTGATTTAAAACTGGATATGGCTCATGAATGGCCCAGTGGTTAAAGTTCAGAGTACCATGACTGGCGCAGGGAGGCGCGGGTTCGATCCCAGCTCTGTGCGTCAGTTTCTGGTCAGAACCGGCAAGGAGGCCAGGCGGTTAAGCACAGCAGAATTGTAGCAGTGAGTTGCGAGTTTGAGACAACAACAAGCTGTGAATGTTCTGCGATGTAAAGAATTGGCGACGACAAACCTACGGCCTACTAATCGCTGAAACCGCTATTATTATTATTATGAGGCACATAGTTGTGTTTGGTGTATATTTTGTGAGTTCCAAGCACAATTTTGCTTGAAGTTAGTGCAGCTATACCTACTCGTTAAGGGATTTATTTTTGATTGCTCCGTAGTGGCTCAAATGCCTTAGAATTTAACTTTCAAATATCCAGTGTTTTTCTTAGTTTCTAATTGCCACTGACCACACATAATAAGTACGTGAACTTGAAAAATAAGTGAAGCCAAGTTGAAGCATAGATATAGGCATAGATTATATTCAGTAACAGGGCTTTGTGGAATAAAATTTAATGCATTCACATGTTTTTAGAACAAATTGACTAAAAATAGGATGTGTTTAGATAATTTTGCTACTAAACCGAGAATTGTATGGTAATATGTACTGTTGGAGATATATTGCGGGTTGCCTTACTGCCCCAGTAATGATGTAATCATGATTGTACTTTCATGGTGATCATGTAATATAAAATTAGGGTTCTCATATATTATTATCCAATAGTCTTCAATCTCAATTAAATAGGTTTTCTCCATTATTTTTCCTTCATTCTTGAGGATTTTCCATTATTAATGGTTCCCATATGGTTATACAGTTATNCTTTTATCAATGAAGAGGCATTTTCCTGCTGCACAATAACTGAGGCGTTATCAAGGTTGTCAGATCTCAGCATCTATGATTTTGTACCTGAGTGTAATATTGGTTAGTTGTGGTTTGAGTTGGTAAGTGTAGGCAGGTTATTTGTTACACGCTTGTTATACCCTTTACACTTGCAGTTGAAAGGTTAAGTTCTGTGTAAACTGGATTCCTTCCATCACCCTCCTTTTTAGCGCATTTTCTCATTCATGAAAAAATGCACTATTTTGCTCGCCATGTCCGTCTGTCTGTCCGTCCGTCCATCTGTTTGTCCGTCCGTCTGTCCGTCCGTCCGTGACTTCAAGTTTTCTCCGACGAAAAAATGCGCTCTCTGTCACTCACTGCAGTGAGTACTGAGTTATATTTTTTTCTAGTGTCTTCGTTTTTGTTGCGGTTCATATGTCTCGACAATTCGTCTGATATTTTCACGTTGGTTCCAGCTTCATGATGATTTTGACTTCACAATCACTTCCCTTGTTATCAATAGTCATTCACTTTATTTCATTTAGTCAGAATTCGCTCTGCAATCGCATACTATAATCGTCCTGTAAGACGGTCATGTTGTTACGCTGTCTCCAAGAATTGTTATCGCTGATTTAAAACTGGCCTCAACTAATTTTTATATTTAACCACTAAGAATATGTTGATTGCAATTATACACCCACCATGTCTCACACGTTGAAATACTGTTAAATAAACGTCGTTTCAACGTTATTTGCATTTGACGAGCATTTCAGAGGTACATTTAACTTTAACATCGCCTGTGAAGCTTTTTAACTTATATTGGCATTCACATGGAAGTATTTTATATTTTTTCTCCACGTTTTTGCCATTTTCTGGTTATGAATTTTTTTTATATGCTCCTGCGTGAATAAAGAATAAACTGTGGTGAACGGCCAAGGGTTTTCCATGCAATCCGCAGAGGGGCTGGAGGAGGAGACCTCCTCCCGCCAGGGGTGGTTGACACGCCCCCGGTCCTCGGTCTCCTTGCAGGACCGTTTTCCACAACCATTGATGCTCTGTCTGAAGTCAACTTGAGACCGGCCTTTATCCTTGATGCCTTGATGCTGTCATAAGTCAACTTGAGACCGGCCTTTATCCTTGATGCCTTGATGCTGTCAGAAAAGTAAACTTTTCAACTTGAGGCAGGCCTTTATGTTATTTCTTATAATGGTGTGTCGTAGAACGTAGTGGTATTTATTTGCAAGCGTTTCTGGGTTATTCATGCATCTAGATCGGCCTCTCCTGGCCTAAAAGTTCATCAAAATCGCAGTCGCATATGTTTAAAGTAAATGTGTCACATCATTGAAGTGATATCTACAGAAGTTGAACACAACCCCAAGCCGTTCAGAGAACCAGTTGTGTATCGTCGCCCCTTGTATGCAACTTATCTTTTTGTATACTAAATATTGCTTTTAATCCCCTGGTATGCAACCTATCTTTTGTCTGATAAATATTGCATTTCTTTCTTCAATGATCCCCAATTTGAATTTCTCTGCACTTCCAACACTAGAGATGAATATTTGGGAAATCCATGGCCATAGGAAAACGCAATGGCCTTGGGGAGACCCATGAGTTATGTCGAGGAATGAGCGAGAGTTTTTGGCTACATGTTTTCTTCGATCTTACGTACCTCCTTGGTGGCAGAGCAGGAAATTATTGGGGCGAAAGAGAACCTCGAATTTATTAATCGTCGAATATATATTCTTCGTCTGCAAAAATGAGAAGAATTTTTACCAAAATGCGGTGCTCAAAATAAAAGAAAATATAACTTAGTACTCACTGCAGTGAGTGACAGAGAGCGCATTTCCTCGTCGATGAAAACATGAAGTCACGGACGGACAGACAGACATGGCGAGCACAATAGTGCATTTTTTCATAAATGAGAAAATGCGCTAAGAACCGTGAGATATACCTACTATATATGCTAGTTCGATGCGCCAGGCGACCTTCGCCGCCCCAGTCCGCAGGACCGTCTTAAGCTGTCACTCGCACCTTTTTCCTATTATTTCTTTCTTCAATGATCCCCAATTTGAATTTCTCTGCACTTCCAACACTAGAGATGAACATTTTGGAAACCCATGGCCATAGGAAAACGTAATGGCCTTGGGGAGACCCATGAGTTATGTCGAGGAATGAGCGAGCGTTTTTGGCCACACGTTTTCTTCGATCTTACGTCCCTCCTTGATGGCAGAGCAGGAAATTATTAGGGCGAAAGAGAACCTCGAATTTATTCTTCGTCGAATATATATTCTACGTCTGCAAAAATGAGCAAAATTTGTACCAAAATGCGGTGCGCAAAAAAAAAAAAACGTGATAGACTTTCAAGAACCGGCAACAGGCCATGGGCCCATTTATTCAATGCCGACACTTCTATTCTATTTTATGCTAGTTTAACCTGAATTTGAATATGTTTACGTAAAATGCTCTACCTGGGGCCGTATTATCAGAAGTTCGTAAGTACCCAAAATTGACTTACGAGTGGCGTTGCTATGAATCCGTAATACTAGCAGTGGTATTATAAAAACATTTACGCGGGAAAAAAATTTAGGCTTTTAGCTAAGACTTGCGTACGAAAGTTTTGATAAAGCCAAAATTAGGGTGTATTTACGTACCACAGAACTTTTTTGTCGTAAGTACAAAAAGTTACGAAGTTTTGATAATCCGGCCCCAGGGGCCACTAATATGTTAACGGTACTTCAATGATTGTATCTATGGTACTAACCTAGTGGATGTCGTTACTACAATGATAGTACAAACTTATTTGCTACTTCAACATCTATAGTATGCCAGACACTGCATAAGGCGGGACGAACTGAATATTAAGTGAACAGAAAAATGAGTTTACTGCCGAAGGATTCAAAGGAGTTTGGCAGCAAGGATTACTGGAACAGCTTCTTTGCCGGCCGTGGCTCGGATACTTTCGAATGGTAAATAATATATAATAAAATTATTATTTATTAGCAGCTCAAGTAATGAAAAGTAATAAATAACTCCCTTAATAAATAATATAATTTTTTAAAAATGAGACCGGAGATTGAACCACCAAGAGACAATTAGAAATTAAAAACCACCATGCATGAGACCGGATTGATTGATAATGAAATTATAAATGATTAATCAATAGTGATTATACCAATAAACTGTTAGTCATTTGATACTCTATGTTTTTATTTATATGTGATGCTGTCGATAGTGAAAGGGTTTAGCGTGCAACTACACAAATGAATGCTGTTAATATGTGATAGTGCAGTACACGGTGGCAGGCTAGTGATAGTGCAGCACGCGGTGGCAGGCTAGTGGTAGTGCAGCACACGGTGGCAAGTTAACAGGTGATAGTGATAAGTTTTTCACCATCATTTAACGTGGTCTGCAGGTACGGCGAGTATGCAGACCTGTGTGGTCTGTTGCACACATTCATCAGACCCGCAGACCGTCTGCTTGTTGCTGGCTGTGGTAACTCCACTCTCAGCGCAGACCTTTACTCCCTGGGCTACAAGTTAGTGCTGGTCTATTTACTATAATTTACTACTATACTATACGTCACTACCATACACTACTTACTATTAACGATACAAAATGGGCGAAAAATATTCATTGGTCTATAGTACTACTATACTGTACTACTATACTATACGCCACTACCATACACTAATTGCTATTTACGATACAAAATGGGAGAAAAATATTCATTGGTCTATAGTACTACTATACTGTACTACTATACTATACGACACTACCATGCACTAATTACTATTCACGATACAAAATGAAATAAAATTATTCATTGGTCTATAGTACTATACTGTACTACTATACTATACGTCACTACCATACATTTCTTACATTTACAATACAAAATGGGAGAAAAATATTCATTGGTCTATAGTACTATACTGTACTAGTGTACTACTATACTATACGTCATTACCATGAACTAATTACTATTTATGATGCAAAATGGGAGAAAATTATTCATTGGTCTATAGTACTACTATACTGTACTACTATACTATACGACACTACCATGCACTAATTATTATTTACGATACAAAATGAAATAAAATTATTCATTTACACCTTTATTCGATTGTTTCACTTGATTAAGATGCTTCCAGTACTTCTAGGAACTTATCATGACGTTGTTGACGTGATTATAAGATCATGATAATCATGAATTGATAATTTGATTTGTACATATATTTTACTGAATGTATATAATTGTCGGTTAAGAACCCGTTACACGGCGACCGTAACAATACCCGCTACACTGCGTCTGTTACAATACCCGTTACACGGCGCCCGTTACAATACCCGCTATACTGCGCCCGTTACAATACCCGTTACACTGCCCGTTACAATACCCGTTACACTGCTCCCGTTACACGGCCCCCGCTACACTGCGCCCGTTACAATACCCGATACACTGCCCGTTACAATACCCGCTATACTGCGTCTGTTACAATTCCCGTTACACTGCCCGTTACAATTCCCGTTACACTGCTCCCGTTACACGGCCCCCGTTACACTGCGCCCGTTACAATACCCGCTACACTGCCCGTTACAATACCCGTTACACTGCTCCCGTTACACTGCGCCCGTTACAATACCCGCTACACTGCGTCTGTTACAATACCCGTTACACTGCTCCCGTTACAATACCCGTTACACTGCTCCCGTTACAATACTCGATACACTGCGTCTGTTACAATACCCGTTACACTGCGCCCGTTACAATACCCGCTACACTGCCCGTTACAATACCCGTTACACTGCTCCCGTTACACTGCTCGCGTTANTACCCGTTACGCTGCGCCCCATACAATACCCGTTACACGGCGCCCGTTACAATACCCGTTACGCTGCGCCCCATACAATACCCGTTACACGGCGCCCGTTACAATACCCGTTACGCTGCGCCCCATACAATACCCGTTACACGGCGCCCGTTACAATACCCGTTACGCTGCGCCCCATACAATACCCGTTACACGGCGCCCGTTACAATACCCGTTACGCTGCGCCCCATACAATACCCGTTACACGGCGCCCGTTACAATACCCGTTACGCTGCGCCCCATACAATACCCGTTACACGGCGCCCGTTACAATACCCGTTACGCTGCGCCCCATACAATACCCGTTACACGGCGCCCGTTACAATACCCGTTACGCTGCGCCCCATACAATACCCGTTACACGGCGCCCGTTACAATACCCGTTACGCTGCGCCCCATACAATACCCGTTACACGGCGCCCGTTACAATACCCGTTACGCTGCGCCCCATACAATACCCGTTACACGGCGCCCGTTACAATACCCGTTACGCTGCGCCCCATACAATACCCGTTACACGGCGCCCGTTACAATACCCGTTACGCTGCGCCCCATACAATACCCGTTACACGGCGCCCGTTACAATACCCGTTACGCTGCGCCCCATACAATACCCGTTACACGGCGCCAGTCACACTACGCCCGTTACCTTATACGCCCGCTACAACACCCGTTACACTGATCCCATTACACTATACGTCCGTTACACTGTACGCCCGTTACAACACCCGTTACACGGCGCCCGTTACGCCACCAGGAGCATCACGAACGTAGACGTTAGCGAGGTGGCGGTGCGACAGATGCGCGGACGCTACGGGACGTCGTGCCCTGACATGGTGTGGTGCCACGACGACCTCACGGCCTCCTCCCTGGACACGGCCTCCTTCACGGCCGTGCTCGACAAGGGCACGCTCGACGCCATCTTCACCGACGACTCCACGGCCGTGGTCCAGACCGTGCATAAATATCTGTCCGTAAGTGCGCTACTCAGGAAAATATTGAGAGACTTTGTCCTAATAGCGATGCAATAAATATCTGTCCGTAAGTACGCTACTCAGGAAAATATTGAGAGACTTTGTCCAGAAATATCTGTCCGTAAGTATGCGCACACTCAGGATAAATTGTGAGACTTTCTCCTAACTCCACGGCCGTGGTCCAGACCGTGAATAAATATTTGTCCGTAAGTGCGCTACTCAGATAAAATTAGAGACTTTGTCCAAGTAACGATGCCATAAATATCTGTCCGTAAGTACGCACACAGTCAGGGTAAATTCTGTCCGTATATAAATATCTGTCCGTAAGTGTGCGGCTACTCGGGAAAAATTGAGAGACTTTGTTCAAAAATATCTGTCGGTAAGTACGCGCACACTCAGGATAAATTGTGAGACTTTGTCGAAATAGCGATGCAATTCTCGTTCTTGTGTGGGTCATCCTGACGCAGTTTTGCCCGAAACAACGACGTACCAGTGCTACACGCAGGGAAGTGTGTCACTATTTGGATAATATAACCATCAATTTTTTCTTGGTGGGTTCTAATGCGTAAGATATTTAATTTAAGGTACTATTTAGCATATTATACCTTTTAGCTGCGGAGTATTTTAAACTAATAATATAAGTATATACCTTACAGGAGTTAAAGTATTAATACAGCACTTGTAGGTGTTTGAGTGGTTGAAGGTTTATTTTACCTATTCAGGTTTTATAATCAAGTAGGTATTGTAATATCATGTAGGTTTATAGGTTGTAATATGATGTAGATATTGTAATATCATGTAAGTTTAGGTTTTAATTTCATGTAGGTATTTTGCTGGCCATTCGAGTATCATTGAGGCATTTAGTCTATATTACTCTTACCTTTTAAGTGGTTATAGGGGATTAATACCTTGTAGATTTTAAGGTATTAGCACCTATTAGGTACTGACGAAGAAACTCCCGACGTTGTCTTGAACTTAAACTATAAATAGAATATATAGAGGCTGTCTCTTATACACATCTAGATGTGTATAAGAGACAGGTGTTGCAGGGGGTGTAGGGTGTTGCAGGAGGTGTTGGGTGTTGCAGGAGGTGTTGGGTGTTGCAGGAGGTGTTGGGTGTTGCAGGAGGTGTTGGGTGTTGCAGGAGGTGTTGCGGCTGCTGCGGTGTGGAGGACGCTACGTGTGCGTGTCGCTGCTGCAGGAACACATCCTGCAACACCTCCTGCAATGGAGTCACAGCCAAGGATGCATCACGAGGATCTGCAGGTGCCTTATTTGTTGTCCGGTGTCAATCTTATTATTTTCATTATAATAATAATATAACATTAAATCATTTGTAATCGAGACATAATATTCAATAAAGGTGATAGAGATTGATGGAAAATACTAGACCTGAGTCAGCGTCTGGAAACATCACGTGATAGATCACGCGATCAGGACCTTAGTAGTGGGCGGAAGCCGTGACTATATAAAAGCGCTGGGAACCTTAGTAAAGTTCCTTCAGTAACTAATGAGTGCACCGCGATGTAACGCGCGTTAGAGTTACTGCGACCCAACAGTCGATGTCTTAGTTCAACCTGTATTGTATCTCTCATGTATTACCACGCCGTATCAAGATAAGTTCTCTAGACATGTGGTGTATCTTATTCATCCCTCACGCACTTAGTCAACGAATCCTTCGTTCCTATAACTCTGGAGGCGCACAAAAGTGTGTTTTACATTGTAATTATGTTAAAATTATTATAAATTAATAAGTCTAATATACCCAGATATGATATATACCCTTGATGAGCCGTTTGAACAGGGAATAATATTTCATCATTTTTGTAATTCTTGTACGTTATTTATTTTATATTTGTCTATATTTTCATATTTGTATTTGTTTGGAAATGTTCTTTGAATGTTTGGAAGGTATGATGAGTGGTTAAATTTATACATTAAAATATGGGTTAAATTTTCATTTTATATTATCTCTATTTATTGTATGTGAGACTGTTTTTTGGTGATATATTATATAATATAAAGTTATAAAATGTTATTGTTAAATAATGTTTACGTTGGGCAGATGCGTGGAGGCCGAGGAAAGCACAAAGAAGCAAGGGAGGTTTACACTGCCGGTTTTCGTGGTGGTCTGCACCAAACTCAGACCAGTGCCTGGTGTTATACCAGTACGTGACACTAGTGCCTGGTGTTATACCAGTACGTGACACTAGTGTCTGGTGTTATACCAGTACGTGACACTAGTGCCTGGTGTTATACCAGTACGTGACACTAGTTCCTGGTGTTATACCAGTACGTGACACTAGTGCCTGGTGTTTTACCAGTACGTGACACTAGAGCCTGATGTTATACCAGTACGTGACACTAGTGTCTAGTGTGACACCAGTACGTGACACTAGTGTCTAGTGTTATACCAGTACGTGACACTAGTGCCTGGTGTTATACCAGTACGTGACACTAGTGCCTTGGTGTGACACCAGTACTTGACACTAGTGCCTGATGTGACACCACTACGTGACACTAGTGCCTGGTGTTATACCAGTACGTAACACTAGTGCCTGGTGTTATACCAGTACGTGACACTAGCGTTTGGTGTGACACCAGTACGTGACACTAGTGCCTGGTGTTATACCAGTACGTGACACTAGTGCCTGGTGTTATACCAGTACGTGACACTAGTGCCTGGTGTGATACTAGTGCCTGGTGTTATACCAGTACGTGACACTAGTGCCTGGTGTTATACCAGTACGTGACACTAGTGCCTGGTGTTATACCAGTACGTATTTCAGTACAGAATGCTAGTTGTGTTAATCACTGTATTAACGTGTTATAATATTGAATGTTATATTCTCCCTTGTATTAATTTGTGTGGCGCCCCCAGGTGCTTGAGAGCTGCCTCGGGGGCGGCGCCCCCCAGCGCGTGTCGCCCGAGGAGCTGCAGCAGGAGGTGCGCGCTCTGCAGCAGTACAGCGCCGCCACTCACGCCCTCCTCAGGAAGGTAATATAATATAAATATAAATATTTATATTTAGTTTTAGATGGCAGAATTTGTTGATTTATACGCGTGCGATTAACGACCAGAGAATAAGTTGATTTAAATTGTCAAAGAGTCGGACAATTCTTCAGATGACGTTGGTAGATCGAAAGGCATATATCAGGAAGTAGCTTAGTTTATTAACGACGTAAGCCTCATCGTCTCTACGAATTGGACGCCTGCTACCACTTTCTTAACTACCGGATTTGGCTGAACTTTGAAATGATTTTCAGAGTGATTTTTTGATTCAAAATTTTACTATAGTATCCTATTTACATATATTATGTACTTATTTCCACCAGAATTTCAATATTTAATGCTCTTTGTAACTTGAAAATGAATGTTTGTTACATTCGAAACGTCGTTAATAAACTAAAACTACTTCTTGATATATGCCTTTCGATCTACCAACGTCATCTGAAGAATTGTCCTANGTACAGCGCCGCCACTCACGCCCTCCTCAGGAAGGTAATATAATATAAATATAAATATTTTTATATATTTATATATAAATAATTAATATATATTAATTTATTTCATATATATATATATATATATATTTATTATATATAATAAAATAAATAAATAAAAAAATAAAATAAATAATAAATCTATTTATAAAATAAATATACATATATAATAAAATAAATCTGATCCTAGGAAACACTGAATAAATGCTGTAATGTAGCTAATGCTTCTTATTTGTTATATTTTAGAGTGATGGCTGGGATATTATTCCTACCGTGAGCTCAAGGAGTATGTCCAAAATTTTGTCAAGCATTTCAATGTGATCGCTGGGATTTTATTTATAGCGTGACGCAAGATAGAGTTTCTTCGATGAACATCCCTAGCAATTTAGTGAGATTGCTGTTAAAAGTTTTACTGCATCGCGTGATTACTAGAAGAATTTCATATAATATTTTAAATTTAATCGTTGGTTTACAGGTGTCGTTGGGTGAAGAGGCGCGGCTGGAGCTTTGCCACGCCAAGACGGGCGACCTGCGCTACGTGCTTTACATCCTCGATGCTCCGACGTCTGCTGCGCCTCCCGCCCTTCCTATGGGCGTCTTCATCGTCCCTCAGCGCAGGTTCGGCTTTTAGGAATCCGTTTCAGGCAAAAAACTAAATTAGTGTTGACTGATTTTAAAATTAAATCCAATATGCACCTTGACATATACGATTCACCTTGACGCTCCGACGTCTGCTGCGCCTCCCGCCCTTCCTATGGGCGTCTTCATCGTCCCTCAGCGCAGGTTGCCGCCTTCAGGAATCCGTTTCGCGCCAAAAATCTAAAATTAGTGTTGACTGTTTTTAAAATTTTCGCGCCAAAAATCTTGAATTGGTGTTGACTGTGTTTAAATATAAATCTAATATGCACCTTGACATACCCTCAGCGCAGGTTGCCGCCTTCAGGAATCCGTTTCACGCCAAAAACCTTGAATTAGTGTTGACTGTTTTTAAATTTTCACGCAAAAGCTCTAAAATTATTATTGACTGTTTTTAAAATTTTCGCGCAAAAGTTCTAAAATTAGTGTTGACTGTTTTTAAAATTTGCACGCAAGTTTTAAAATTAGTGTTGACCATTTTTTTAAATTTTCGCGCAAAAGTTCTAAAATTAGTGTTGACTGTTTTTAAAATTTTCGCGCAAAAGTTCTAAAATTAGTGTGTACTGTTTTTAAAATTTTCGCGCAAAAGTTCTAAAATTAGTGTGTACTGTTTTTAAACTGTCTCTTATACACATCTAGATGTGTATAAGAGACAGACCCATTCCCGTTTTGATGCCCCATTCCCGTTTTGATGCCCCATTCCCGTTTTGATGCCCCATTCCCGTTTTGATGCCCCATTCCCGTTTTGATGCCCTATTCCCGTTTTGAAGCCCCATTCCCGTTTTGATGCCCTATTCCCGTTTTGATGCCTCATTCTCGTTTTGATGCCCCCATTCCCGTTTTGATGCCCCATTCCCGTTTTGATGCCCCATTTCCGTTTTGATGCCCCATTTCCGTTTTGATGCCCCATTCCCGTTTTGATGATACATTCCCGTTTTGATGCCCCGTTCCCGTTTTGATGCCCCGTTCCCGCTTTGATGCACCATTCCCGTTTGGATGCCCCATTCCCGTTTTGATGCCCCATTCCCGTTTTGATGCCCCATCCCGCATTCCAGGTGCCGTTCCTGACAGCAGGGGGTGACGTGGGCTCGGTGCGTCGCGTGTGTGGCGGGGAGAGCAAGTATAGCGGCAAGTACGTCGTGGAGGACGTTCAGGGTGACGAGGGAACGGCCTTCCGACGTCTCATATTCTTGAACAATCCCAACGCCATACAGTCTGAAGTGCGACTGCTTAACGGTGCGCTCACTGCTATTAAATATTAACACGTCCAATAGTTCCTTCCCAGAACTATTAGACACGTTCAAATAGTTCTGGGAAGGCCGTTCTTGATACATTTTCTTTCATCATCAGTTCTTAAGTAAGCATTCATCAAATATTGTGCACCCAATATGACTAGTGAATTTATTTAGGAAGAAAAATTTCAATATGGTCTGTTCAGACGAAAAGATTCAAACTCTTTCCAACAGCGTCAGTCGACAGCTCGTCTCAAAGCAACAGCAAAGGAAAGAAGAAGAGGCAGAAGAACCCAGGGTCTGAAGTGAACGAGGCCCCCACACTGGACCAACATTACCTGTCATGTCAGCATCACCTCGCAATGGTGGGAGGTCTGGGACTAGTCCATTGTCGCGGTCGGGGCATGATATTGGGACTTGGAGGCGGACCTCTTGCAACTTACATACACCAACATTTCCCTAAGGTGCTTGTATACTTATTAACGCTCAAGATTATCTATAAATATATATCTCGAATTTATGTATAATATAAGTAATGGCAATGATGATACATCGTGTTCCATTAAACTTTGTGACATGTTGTGCAATGTTTGACTTATAACAAACGAGAGCTGTACGCGTTTGATTATAGCTTAAGTAAGCCTAGAACGCTCATTTCCTTTCTATTATTACTAGATCCTTCGCACTAAAACAAAATTAAAAATATTTTGTTATTTACAGATAATCATGGACACAGTAGAACTAGACGAGGCGATGGTGAAGGTAGCGAAGCAATGCTTCGGCTTCAAGACGACTCCAAGGCTGACTGTTACAGTTCAAGACGGTCTCGAATTTTGTGAAGAAAAGGCCAATAGTGGTGAGTGAGGCCATAAATTAGGTAGGCTAATAATAAAGTAACCGAGCTCATTGTTGAAATTTTTCTTCTTCTAGCTAAATCAAGTTGACTTGCTTATTTGTAGATTTTTCTTTCTTTACTATGATGATAACACATTACTGCATTGTAGCGTAAAATATTTATTTAATTACAAATTATTGGAGGCATATTGACCCTAATTAAAAAAATTAAATTATTTTTAATATTTAATATTTTATGTCATCAGTTCATGCCACATTACTGCATTGTAGTGTAAAACATTGAATTATAAATGATTCGAAGAATATTGACCCTAATTAAATACATTTAAATGATTTTTAATACTGAATTTTTATGTCATCGGTTCATGGCAGGCACGGTTTACGACTTTATCTTGATGGACGTGGACTCTAAAGACGTGAGCGTCGGCATGAGCTGCCCGCCACAGGAGTTTGTGACACTTGACTTCCTGAAGATCTTGGCGGCGTGTCTACGGCCGGGAGGTGAGGGCTGGCATGGGGGAATGCTGCTCATGGGGGTGAGGGATTGCAGGGTGATATTCAACCCACAAATATAGAAGTTCATAAACAGGAACAGCTCCAGTAAGATGCTTGGCCATTCCAACCCTAAAAATGGTAACACTTGTATGCTATAGGCAGGCTCCGTGTCCAAATAAAGAAAGAAAACCCACACAAGTGTAAATACACTCGTACTAATAGGTAATTTTTGCCGATGTACGTGATAGATAATTTTTTGAAATCTGGGATTCTGCCTACTCTTGTTGAGAGATGTCTACGATCTCACTTAGGAATTCAGTTCGTAAAGATTTTTAGCAAGTACTCGGTACCAGCAAGCTTTGAACCATTTTTAGGAGAGGAAAGAACGAAGATGAACTGCTTTAATTTTGATAAGTCACTAGGAATAGGTAGAATTTCATACCTCAGTGTGAAAAAGTTCATTATTTGAAATAATATCATCAATATTAATTGCCACAGTTACAGGCATAACTTGAACACGATGTGTTGTATTACAAATTTTTAACGGTATAGACTAGTTAATATCTCATCACAGATTTGTTTTATATATCTGTACCCATGGTGATCATGAACCATAAAATTGAAAATCTAGGGGGGAATAAGTTTTTTTATTGTACTACCGAGTTCGAACTATGGGTTATTTTATTCTATGGGAACTACCGAGCTATTGGCTTTCCATTCTACCGAGTTTTAAACTGTTTTTTTCATTGTACATTTCAGGCTTAGCCATACTGAACATGGTGTGTCGCGACAGTGGCGTATGGCAAGACTGTGTTGAGAGGATCAAGTCGGTGTTCGGCGATATAATCTGCCAGAGCATCCCGCACGAGGTCAACAGGTTGCTGCTCTGCATCAAGCCTCAGGAAAACCATCTTGGTCGACCTGGAAGTCAGGTTCTTGATGGTCTCCGCAGCAGCCTCGCTTTAGTTAATAGATTATTGAGAAGAAAAAATAGCAAGGAGGATGCCATAGACATTGATGATACTATGAAGAATATCGTTATACTATGATTAAGAAACTGACGTCAGTATTGGTGGTAGGATCTTACTTCTTACATTCAGGTGTTTGAACAATAAATATTCATAAAATTTAATACATTTTGATCTTTTATAATTTTTCCTAAGAATCCTGATATATTTATCATTCGAGAGGGTATTAACTATTACACTATGGTTGAGATAGTTTCATTTAATTATTTACACGGGGATAAGCATTACAATTATATAATAATGAAGATGACGGATTCGCCATAGTCATCTTTCTTATTCATAATGAAACAAATATCAATTCCTGATGATTCTTCATGATGAAACATTTGAGGAAGAGGACGCGGCAGCAGCAGCAGCTTCCCGCTCTCGTTTGAGTTCCTCTTTTCTTATAAGCGCCAGCTGCTTGAGGTCGGCGAGCGGCTGATAATAGCTATGCACAAGCTGGGACCCCGCAAACATGGAGAGGATTGACGTCACTATTACTGCTCCGTACTTAGGCCAGCTCATTCCCAGAGGCATCGCAGCGTTTTCTGAAAATTTAGTTTGAAAGTCATGCTATATGTCCAGGAGTAGTTTAATAATACTTCCTGACATAATAGTTCTAAAGCAAGTAATCATTGAGATGATGATTTATTAGTGAAAGATGAAAAACAAACAAATTCTAAACTTAAGGGCTAATGATTCTTTGTTTTCATCTAGGTGGCTGGTGGGACAATTACAATATACAATATAAATTACAATATACATGACAATTACTAGAAAAATACCTATTGAAGGATGCTGAATCTTCATAAAATTAATATCGATAGTACTTCTTTATAAAATGTATAAGAATAAAGTTAAAGTATAAATTATATTTCAATTTTTTTGTCTCATCACGTTTATGATTGAAATATGTTCCATGGTTGACAACTGTAATTGTTGTTAGGCTGAACCAAAAAGGTGGTAAAGATATCATGCTCTCTGTGAGGGTTTAGACTGAATGACAAACAATTAACAATAATTAATGTCAAAATCTAACAAGGATTAAATAAATAAATTAACAAATATTAATTAATTAGTTGTACAAGTAGATTATAATAATTAAAATTAATTTTATATTAATTAATTTTAAAATTTCCACAACAGCAAAAGACCTCATTAGCCAACTTAATATGGTATACAACTTGCATGTATGAAATTGTTAATATTAGGGTAAAAAATTATGAATAAAATAATTACTAGTATTCCAGACATTTTTATATGATGATTGAGGTGGTATCCCAAATGTTTTTAAAGGAAACAATGATGAATTTACTCACTGTTTTCTTTGCTTTCATATTCTAGCTTAATTTAGAACTTTTTAAACTACTGACACTGATAAAATTATTAGTAATTTGTTATGAAATCTTTTGCTTGCTAAATTGCTGAAGGTCACTGTGGCTTACCAAGGATATAATGGATTACTCAGATACTTTGATGAAGTTTGGCTAGCCTTGCTTCACGCTGAGCCTTCTTATCTTCTTCTTCCAAAAGCTTAGTGGCCAATTCCTCAACTCGTCTCTTCTTGAATGTCCGATCTAGAAAAATGAGCTCACAATTATTAAAAGTTTATTTGGTTCAGTCCAAGATGCTACCTATAACAGAGTTCTTAGGCAAAGAAATATCCATGCATTGATTGTAATACATAAAAATCATGAGAAGGTTGATGATTTACCATTTGTACTCAATATGTTTACAAGAAAGTTTTGTTTCATTATATAATCTAGATACAAAATTAATTAATTGTTGGTAACACTGCCAAAATAAATGCCTTAAATTATTCTGGATAAACATGCCATGGGCTGCTTGCAGATAGTTGTGGAAATCTGATCAGGCTATCAATGCACACTGTAGATCTACTGTATTAAATTTTCCTTTCCTGAAGTTTTTACTGTATACATTTTGTATACCAAATTGGAAAAGTTTGCACAAGATCTGTCAAAAGTGTGAGTGAATAATTGCTTTTTCTCATCAAGCATATACACTGTAGGAATCAAGTAGAAAATTTTTCCCATGCATTAATCATCACACAATTTAATTTGCATGCAGATGATGATGTACCTTGGATTCAAATTCAAGATTGAGAGAGCCTATGAAATGGTAAATAATTCAAGAATGTTACTACTTACTTACATCAAAGACAAGCAACTCTACTAATCAGAGTGAACTAATTGATGAAAATGTATCACTCTAAAACATAACATTTTATATCCTTCTCATTGGTGAATATAAATAGCAATCATGCGCGCTTATTTTTAGCCTCATATATATTATTATTACTGTACATATAGGTAAATGGTCATTTGGAACTGGAAGGCATTTAGAATGTCACCATGCTGTCCATGCAGCATGCAACATGCATTCTTGGTGATGCCATCACCAAGACAGGTTTATGGGCCAAAAACAATGTCATGATTATTGAAGATTTATTGCTAAAACTATCTAAACCTTCAATATTTTGGCCCAAAAAAATGTAGGAATGTAGTTAAAGCTAAATTTGCTGACAACATCTCCTGACAACTCATGAATGATAAGCTGCACCAATGTCAATGAACAAAAATACCCATAAATCTGGCTGATTTTACCTGTTAATATGGCTTTTTCTCAATTTCTTCAGTGAAAAATAAGGAAAAAGGTCTATATAACTCAATATCTTGAAGAATCACCTGTGAAATTATCATTTTACTTAGGATTACAGAAAACTTCTGCCCATAGTGGCAATTTGGCAAAGAAGAAAATTTTGTCATCCTACTGCAAGTTTATTTTAGAGTCCTAAAGTAGACTAGCAAGTAGGCTATCTTGGATACCAGCATTATCATATATATCTATAAGCAATTAATTAAAATATTTAGCAGAATAAGCAGATGACATAATTAAATAAAGCAAATAAAAAACTTTAAAAAACCACATTTTCTTAACAGACAAAAAAGAAAAACATTAACTCTTACATTATATTCTACATAACTCCAATGTTAGGTGGAGTTAATATTTTTCTTTTTTGTCCATAAAGAAAAAGCGATTTTTAAAAGTTTTATAGTTGTTTTATTTCATTGTTTTTAGTTTTGTAACTCAGTATTAGACTATTAGTGTATTACTAATAGGCCACCATCTTCAGAGCAGCAAGATTCCTGCTGGATGAATTTTTCCATCTAATTGCTAACAAAAGTGTAGTAATACTTACAAAAGTTTACTTCTCCGACATGCCATTTGATCATGGTAAATTCCAGTCCAGCCCCTAACGCAAAGTGTAAAGGGAGGAATCTGAATGGTCCAAAGAGTGTTTTACCAGGCCAATTGGAGAAAAAATTATATAAGATAGATTTTCTGTACTTTTTCATACTTTTTGAAACATGATAATTTACTTTTTGACTAGGCTTAGTTGTGTTTTTTTAAATTAACTTTATGATTAACCTATTCATGTGTCATACCGCGCAACCCGGCTGACGAGTGTAAACATTACGGTGTAAACATTCCACGGGGCAAATAACGTTAAGGCCTTTTTTTAGGGTAAGTCGTCTCGCACAACATTTCAAACTCTTATTACACGGTACACCCAACATAAATTACATTTAACTAATATTTTATCGGTAATATGATGAACTAATTTTCATTTTACTAAAGCAAATTGAAAGCTATTGGCAAGAAGTCTTTCCATGATTTTTGATGAACATAACAGGAACAATCACACGGATGGCCGAAGGATAGAATATTTCATGGTTGAATTAATAATATTCCAGTAATAATATTCAACCATGGAATATTTGACTCAATCGACAATTTTACGGACCCGCCTGCGGACTCGCGCAACTGGGCCGCTCATAATTCACTGAATCGACACTTTTGCGGACTCGCCTGCGGACTCAGCTCAACCGAAGGACTCATAACTCCTACAATACTGAACGGATTTGCTTGAATTTTGGAATATAAGTATTTATTATTGATACGCTGCGGCAGGAATTATTACAGATTTTTACATAAATTAGTTTTCAATTAAAATTAATAAACGTATTTACTAATCAACCGAAGGACTCGTAACTTCTATAATACTGAACTGATTTTCTTGAATTTTGGAATATAAGTAGTTATTATCGATACGCTGCGGCAGGGATTATTTCCGATTTTTACATAAATTAGTTTTCAATTAAAACTAATAAACATATTTTTTATGCAACCGTAGGACTCATAACTCCTACAATACTGAACGGATTTGCTCGAATTTTGGAATATGAGTAGTTATTATCGATACGCTGCGGCAGGAATTATTGCAGATTTTTTCATAAATTAGTTTTTAATTAAAACTAATAAACGTATTTTTTGATCGACCGAAACACTCACAACTCCTTCAATACGTAACGGATCTGCTTGCAATTTGGAACATAAGTATTTGCTGTAAATTCGCTAGTTTATGAATAATCAAAATTAAATAAATATCCAAAATTTTGGATTAAGATGAGAAAACTTGAACATTGACCCAATAGTTTCGAAGAAGCGCACGGTGTTCATAAATTGGGTACGTTATATAATGTTAGTTATGTGTGTTTGCCTAGTGTCGAGTTTAAATTGTTAAATGGGCCTTGCATGACCGATAATTTCCAATTGTCCGGATGCCGTTAGAAGAATTGTAGGATTATCTCATAGAAATTAGTTCCCTGATCCTGTCTGATCAACCACCTAGGCATTGTTCAATATTATATTTTTACATATCCAGGTTTTGAATTTAAAATACTCAATGCTCCATAATGCCATTAAAATGGTTAATATAGTGATTTGAAAAAGAAAAATTTTTGTATACCTCTTTATTAAAAATTGACACAATCATAATTATATCAGTTAGGTTAAGAATTGTCGATCGAGTGAATATTTGAGGGAAAAAAAACAAATTCTGGGGTAACTTTTCTTGTTATTGCGTTCAAAATTTCACATGTGAGGAGCTAGTTTTGCTAGTCTGTGACTGTCTGTCTCTGCAGAAGCTCTCAGGGCCGCCAACGTTCATCATTGCGTTGTCCTGTGGCTTTAAGTCCACCCTGCGTGGACACCCCGAAAAGAAGAAAAGCTAGTCTGTCTTCGCTAACGCACTCTGTTGTTATTACGAAATTTGCTTAAAGCATAGTTACAAGTTATTAATCATTTATATCTTGAACTGTAAAGATGGGTGTTAAAGGACTCCCATCTTTCATACGGGAGCATGCCAGAGCTTCTTTGGTGTCTCATAAGCTGTCTAGGTGAGTGAGTGTAGCTGAATAAGCTGATTAACTTGATATATCTTATGTTCAAGCTATAAAAATTGAATACATAGTAATAGTATTTCTATCTGCTTTTGAAGATAAAAAGCTTGATTCATGAGTGCAGCTGTGCAGGGATGACTTGTGATTTATTTATTCCTGATGAGAAATTACATTATAAATTATATCTCAATCTCATTTACAATCAGAAATTAGTTAGATTACATTTATAGAAATATACTCATAAATATATGTCTGGAAATTGTTATATATGTATTTATGTAGACTGTAGTTTTAGTGTAGCCTACCTAGTATAATTACTGTCAACTGAGATTCATTTAAAAAAATTTCTTCATATTAACAGTTTACAATTTATTAAGGAATTCTGTTCATGAATATTATAAAATTTCATTCTATTTTTGGTCTTTTATTTCCAGGTGCCGAGTGATCATAGATGGTAAAAATTTGATGTTTCATCTCTTTGGGAAGTGCAGCAAACAGAAGATGGCTTATGGTGGTGATTATGATGAGTTTGCTGCAGAAGTTGACCTGTTTTTTAACAGGTAATGGTTATTTGCATTCAATGTTATTTGAATTCAAGGCTGAAATAATGCTTTTTTGACATTAGGTTGGCTATGTCATATCTGTCTTAGTACTACAAAAGACTAACCAAAAATAAAAGTTGGCAAATTAATAATGTATGATTTGATTATGGTTTTCTTATAAACTAAATTTTAAGTTTTTCTGTAATAATATTATGAAAAGCTTAAAATTGCACATTAATTTTTTATCAATCAATATTATTAATTATACAATCAATTCCCTGAATTAAAATTTATAGAACTAACTCCAAGTTTGCATCACTTGACATCAAGTCTGGAGATATGTACCTATTTTGGGCCAAGGTGTATGAAGGTTTGTTTTTCATAATAAAACCAGTCAATTATAAATTTTGACAATATCATCCTGCAATGATAACTTATTCCCTACAATTTATCTCCAGGAATCATAATTTATATTTCCTCTTACACTGTGGAAGGAATATGCTTCAAGTCAGTTCCTGTGTGCTGTCGCCTAATAATCAATGGTTTCTTTGCATGTTATATAATGTTTTCTTTGCAGTCAATAATATTTCTGCATTTAATTTAAATATTTAATATTGTTTTAATTTAATTAATATTAATAAATAATATTAACAATAAATATTTAATATTGCAGTCAATAATATTTCTGCAAAGAAAAAATGTTTTCTTTGCAGTCTGCTTCGATGTGGCATTGAGTCTTGTGTCCTTCTTGATGGTGGTGTGGCAATGAAACTTGCCTCGGTCAAGTGGGCAGTGCATCTACTCAAGTCTGGCATCAAAACATGTGCTGAAGCCATGCCTGGCAATTGTAAAGATTTGGTAAGGCTTGGCAGACTTAGTTTTTTTTATAATTTTTGTTTCAGGTAAATGTGTGTTGATTTGGTGAAGCATGGGTAATGTTTTCTTTGAACTTGAGTACGAACCAAAAGGTCGTTTTGCCTGGTAAGGCATCTTCCTCCATCATTGCGGTGGAATAGACTTTTAACCTACCCAACTTTCCAGTATAAGATGAATTCTTAGGCTGAAATTTGTGTAAGTAAAAGAATTGCCATGTTGGCAAACTTAATTGTGATATTAGAAACATGAGAGAGAACGAGTGGTGCATTTTAGATTATTGTGAGCCTTTTTTGTACATTGGGATCCAATGAAAATTTGTTTTAATTTGTTGTTAAATAATGAATTTTAACTGCACACTTGCACTACATTCTGCCGCAGTATTGTTCCATACACGTCTTTGATTTAGATTACTTGGTACATTAAGAAGTATATTTGAATTTTTATCACTTGACTTTCAACATGTAAACTGGAAGAAAGAAAGCTACCCTCTAACATTCATGTACAGAATTTAAGGAAATGCTAATCAAACAAAGATATTCACTTAAGTTGACAAGACTAGGAAACCCTGATCATGACATGTATTGTATGTGTCAATCTTATAGACTTGTATATATCTTTGGATTACAATCAATTAGGTACATGAGTAGTAACAAATTATTTAGATTTTTATATTACTGGCTTCAGTAAGCCTCATGGGTTGCAAAGCCATAAACTAATAAAACCAAAATCGTTAACACCACAAAGAATCGATTTCATAAACTTCTTCCTGTCTGTCAAATCTCTGCTAATTTTGGATCATGATGGGGCAAATAAGAAAGTGAAAGGACCAAGTGTCTGGCTTACTTGGCGAGAGATTGCTTGCTAAAAAGGAGCAACCAATCTTGGGCTCTGCCGACCATCTGGCCCACTCAGATGTTGCCTGCAATGATTGCGAAAAAACTGAATAGCAAGAAATATGATTAGATGAATATAAAGTATAGATTGGTTTTACATGAGCAACCAATTTCAATACTCTTATGGATGGTAAGGCCAATAAGTGTAGATTCAGGATAACAGGCTTTGACCCTTAGAAGTCTCCAAATTGAATTGGCCAAAGGCCAGGAAACAAGTTGCCAACTATTTCCCATACCTCAAACAGCTGGTAGTTTCAAAGTGTAGTCTGGCCCTCAAGATAGTTGACTGATAGGAACCAACCCCGCCAAACCGTCAACCGTCCCATAAAAGCGCGTGTGGCAGGTGGAGTACAGGTTGAGCAGTAGCCAAGCATAAATTGTGCTTTGGGCCAGGTCAGTAAAGAGTCTCATGTTGGAAGATTAAAGAGGGTGCAAGCAGGCCATTCGGCTTTCCTCCTAAGATGAAAAATTACAGAAAATGTGGAAAAAACTGGCCACGCAAGAACTTTGATTGATTTGAACAAAATAATTAAAATCTTGAAATATCAGTGCCATAATGTAAAATTGTGCAAGCAGTTTCATACCTACTAGCGGTACCTTATTAGGCTAATGAATACAAGACACGACAATGATTGCCACTCTTTATTTCCTTATATTCATTTGATGCTTTCCTAGCAGTTGTGACGTGCACCAAGTGCCTGATGATAGTAGTTACATAATTGAATGACTCATGTAGCTTAAGCTGCTGTCAGTGTTGCCTCCATTTCCATATTTTTCCTGATTGCAGGTGTATCCTCCACTCCTGCGTCAGTTGTTCATCACGAGAGTGCGTAGTCATGGAATCACCATCTTGCAGTCAGACTCTTCTGCTGATAATGACATCATCACTTTGTGCAATGCTTTCAGTCTTCCCGTGCTCAGCGGGGACTCGGATTTTTGTGTGCACGGACTAGCATATGTAGACCTGAGGAAACTTCAGTACAACAAGCCTATTGCTGATGAAGAAAATCCCGATCAGTTTTATCTCAATTGCTGCATTTTTGATAAACTTAAATTTTGTGATGTAAGTAATTTGAGTTAAAATAAGTAAACATACATATATGGAAGAAATTCATTTTTCTGTTCCTAGTGTAATGGTTTCTATGAATGAAGCTGAATATGCTTCTATAATGATATGATATTTCAGTGTTGAAAATTAAATACCGATGTTTACTGTGCAATTTTTTTGTCTATTCACAATAAACAAAAGTGTTTTAGGAGAATATATTAAAAGAATTCCGTGAATTTTTTAGAAATCATTTGAAGCAATTGATTGATTTTATACATTTTGTTCAGGTGATGGATATTCATCCTGACCACATCACGCTTCTGGCAACGCTTGGCATGCGTCCATCGCTCACGCGGTTCAAGTTGTCCCAGTTTGTCTACAATATCTCAAGGGGTGTAAAACGAGACCATTCTGTGAATACAAGGTATGAACTAGAAGCTTTGAGACCCACTACTCGTCCTAGTCTGTCTAAAATATCTCAAGAGGTGTAGAGCGAGACCATTGTCAGAGCAAGGTATGCTCTAGTAAACTTGAGACTTGATAGATACTCAAGTTTGTCTACAATATCTCATGGGGTATAAATTGGGAAAGTGATATCACTTTGTGAGCATTAGGTATGAAGTAGAAGCCTTGAGATTCACTATCACGAATGACGGGCCAATGCATGTTGATAAATGCTTTTATCTAACCTAGAAATTGTGTGATGTTCATAATTTGATGACCCAATTTTTTAAAACGTCTTTGAAGAATCCCGTGTAAGTAGGCAGGTTGAAGTTTTGAGGATTCAAAGCAAGAGGATTTAAAAGCAACTTTTATGGTTAAAAGTTTCTAATATATAGGATTATTATTAAATTTTCTCCATTCCTAACTGCAGCACGCGGAACATGATGGCGGTGAGACACTGGCTGTCTCTTAACAAGGATAAAACCGTGCCGCAAATAATTGAAATGGTTAGTACGTCTCATAAGAGAAGTGTCTTCTTTATAAAGTGACTTGGGAATATTTTTTTTAAGTTTTGATACTCAATTTAAGATTTTTCTACTTTATAAAATGACTTGGGAATTTTTTTTAAGTTTTGATACTTAATTTAAGATTTTTCTTCTTTATAAAATGACTTGAGATTTTTTTTCAAGTTTTGATACTTAATTTAAGATTCTTAACCATTAAGTAACAACTTTGCTGATAAAATCCACTCAAGCTCTGTAGCATATTTCTGCTGCATTCTTAGACTTGCTCTATAGAAACAAATTTTACTTGTTTCTCTGTGACGATAAAGTGATACGAGTTCAATCAGACAAGCTTTCATAATGAATGCAAAAATCTTTAATGACCAAATTTCTGCATAACACTGCTTCTCTTGCAACACTGTTTCTCTTGTAACACTGCTTCTCTTGCAACACTGCTTCTCTTGCAACACTGCTTCTCTTGTAAAACTGCTTCTCTTGTAACACTGCTTCTCTTGTAAAACTGCTTCTCTTGTAAAACTGCTTCTCTTGTAACACTGCTTCTCTTGCAACACTGCTTCTCTTGTAAAACTGCTTCTCTTGTAACACTGCTTCTCTTGCAAAACTGCTTCTCTTGCAACACTGCTTCTCTTGTAACACTGCTTCTCTCGTAACACTTTTTAGTTCCTCATGTCTGTTTCGTCACCACTCATTTCGCTCCACTTTCTGTCAACCCATTAAGTTTATACCTTCCATCTTCTAACTTCTATTTGTTCTCATATTAGTTCTATTTAAGTTTCTTTTAACATCATTTTTTTTCATTTATATCACCTCTCATATCCATTTTTTCTCCATACATTATGCTTTCTTTATTCACATAGTTCATTCATCGCCTGCCTACTCTCTTCTCGCTTTTCCTTTGTAATGCATCCACGTTACCTCAGGTAATAGACCTGCTGCCGCAGTATCAAGAGATGCGCCACAGTCTGCGTACTGCCCTCCAGCGCATCCTGCTAGTGTCTGTCACGTCGTCCTATCTCATGCCGTGGTTCACCAGTGGTCCAGAAGACCTTCCATGTGGACACGCTGCCTACACATCATCATGTACTCCAGATAGTGACAATCTCACCACTCCGGAACTCATTGATCAAATCAAAAGAAAGAAAAAGAAGTTTTCAGCGTACACTGTTTTCCAGGCGTCGTTTCTAGGAGAATTTAAAAGGCGTGACCAAAGCTGCCCACATGCTGAGACTGCTGCTACTTTTGCAGGTGGTCTGCCTCTACCTCGATGGCTAGTCATAAGTATAAGACTGTGCCTTCTAGATTTCGATGCTGCTGAAATACTTGTGAAGAAGACGTTATTCTCCTTGCCAATGGTTGAGTCCGTAACCCGAGAATCTGCCTGCTCAATTGCTGTGCCGATCGTCAAAACTATGATTGCCATTAGTGATAAAACTTATTTTGAGTATGAGAAAGAGTACTTAGAGGAACAACTTAGATTCTTAGAAGGGACTCCTGGAGAGGAAAGTGCAGACTTGGCTGAAATGCTTCGTTGCAATCTAACTGAACGTAAACTTAACTATTTTGCCTACAAGAAAAACATTTGGAAGCTCCGTCGAAATATTGCAACCAAGAACAAAGAGTTGAAACCCGTTGCTTCGTGTTCAACATCAGTTTCTCAGCTGGCACAACGAATTGAAGAGTTGAAAATACAGCGTGAAGGGACGCCCAGTGAAAAGTTACTGTGCAACAATTCGCCTGAAATCAAAGTCAAAAAGGGACGACTTTCCAAAGACTCATCTAGGGATGAAACAGGACCAATGTCAGCTATTGATACTAGCCACATATCTCCGCCTGTGTCATCCTGTTCTCTGCCAGAGGAACAAGCGGTTCCGGATGTTGTTTCAAGTATCAACGAAAATATTTCTTCATTTGATATTACTTCAGATGAAAGTAGTTCACTTCCTGTGGAATGCAACAAAGATGAAGGCTCTCATTCTTCTGTTTCAGAGATTCTAAACTCATCTCTCACATCTTTCAAATCAATCGACATTGGCGACGAACTTGTTAATACTTCAAATTTTGATGCCGTAAAGTCACCTGACTTGAGGAATGTAACCTCGGAGTTTGAAGGAGAACTAAGCAAGAGAAGAGATAGTGACAGTGATTGTTCTTTTTACTCGGCAGTACAGGAAGACATTCAGCACAACATTGATATTGACGCGTGCAACAATCTAACCCAGAACTTACATGCATCTGACGATCCATCATTTTTTGCAGAACCAGGATCAGATTTTGACTTCTCCTATTTTGAAAGCAATTTACAGGATGCCCCTTTAAGTGAGTTAATGGATACCCGCTATGACATCGACGATGAAAGCGAGCTTCAAGAGAAGATTTCCGCCACCGCTGATGACAACCTCTTGACGTCATTGCGAATTTCAACTATCGAATTTGGGACTTCCGTAATCTACGATGGCATCCCTGACACCGACTCTGATGATGACGATGTCTTGATAGAAGATGATGAAGATCCTTCTATTGTGTACAAACCTGTGATTAATGATCACACATCGACTGCTAATGAAAATTTCTTGAATATGGAAACATCTGCGATTAATGGTGTCCAGAAAGAGAATGAAGATACCTCTGTTGTGGATGAAAGTACATTCCACGATGATCCAGAAGAGGACAGCGTCGAAGCTGAGATTGTGGACCGTGAAGAAATGCTTCAATTATTGCAAGAAATCCAAGAGCTTGAAAATTTTAATACTTGTGAAAATTCTGAAGAAATTTTAAATCCCTCTGACATTACAACTGGCGTTGAAGAACTGAACCCTATTCATCACAATACGTCAGGCAATTCTCCTTCTAGACTGGCTTTTGGTCATTCAATACCTTCTGATGCAGTTGTTTCTGCCGCAAATATCGCTTCCTCTAGACTTTCTCAGTTGCAAAAGGATAACCTAATTACGGCATCTTCTGTTGTCTCTGAAGTTACTCCTAAACACGAAGGCACGAGTTCACCAGCTAAGAAACGTCCAAGTATTCAGTCTATGTCCAAGGCTGAGAATGACACAAACGAGAATGATGCCTTTTCAAGTGATTCTGATTTCATTGTGATGTATACTACTAAAGACGGATTTACACTGCGGCTGAAGAAAAAGCTGTCTTCTCCTCTTGAAATGAAATATCGAGACCTTTTCGAAGGGACTCTGAAAAAGTACAGAAGACATATCGATAAAGTTGAACAGTACGAGAAAGAGGATAAACTTGTTGATGGATATAGAGAGCGCATTTTAGAAAAGATGACAAATTACTTACGCAAGAAGATGCTACCCATTCTGGAAAAGGAAGCAAATGACAACATGGAATCGGTCTTGAGTGTCCGGCTTGATGGTGATTATGAGAACGCTATGCTATATTCTAGTAATGCAACTTCAGATCTTCTGCCTTACATCAAACGATCGCTGTCTTTCTTTTGCCGGAAATCTACAATGAAATCTGTGCAAGTCATGAGATTACAGAACGAGAACAGTTTGTCACAAGTGCCGTCCATATTGTCGCTTCATTTGAAGTGTAACGCTGAACGCAAAGAAATGTTCTGTGAATTCATAAACATGAACTTCAACCACGTCAAGCGCCTGCCTAATGATATTCAGTTTGTCATTATATGCGTGTGCTATTGGCACAAAAATAGCCGTCAAGCTGTGACGCACTTTCATCTGTATGCGATATTGCTAAGCCTAGTGATGTTCTTCTTCGTTGAACAGAAGATAGGCAGGATTAGATGGGATGAAAAATTGAAAGAGATGGTAAGAGTTGAGTCGAAGAAAACTAACAAAGCTGCCAAGCTTATTGCAAATGCTAAAGACTACATGAAGAACATCTGCTACATAGCATCGCATTTAGATACTTATTCCTGTGCTGTGGCGGCTGCTGGCTTAGCACGATACCATCAAATCGATCCTGCAGTAGATGCCAAGAGCTTTCAAAGACACTTCATCCACTGCATGTCAGAGTTTCAGTGCTGCTACGGCACTTTGGCGAGTCTCAACGGTTTATTGGGCAGTCCTTTTTCAGTGCCTACAATGGATCGCGTTTTGAACAACACTTTCGCCTACAATGCATTTCGCGATTTAACTTCCTGCAAGGACCCTGGCGTTGTGCTCGCTGAACGTCTTGGTCCTGGAAAACAAATGACGTACGCGTTGGATGCTCTTCACTCTTGTGTTGCAGACATCATTCTTATGCCCAACGTCCTCAATCTGTTTCCGAAGATCGTCAAGTCGGTTGACTCAAGAGGCAAAAAAGTGTCGCAGCTAGTCAATAATGTGGATCTACAGACAAAATTACGAAAGGAGCAGATGCGTTTAAAAGAAAGAAATGAACTTTCTGCTATTGATGCTCTCGTCAAGGAGTTCGATTTGATGGACTCGAAGAAAACTCCTCTCGTACCTACAAAAGAAAATTCACGAGCCAGAAAACTACCCAAACAGTCGCTCAACAAGCGCAGAAAATAAATAGTATTCCATGTCTTCCGAAGTCAGGGGCTGTGATCTAATTTGTCAACGCTGGTTGAGGTTTGTTTTCATTGATAATTTGTTGCTGTTACCATCTATTATAAACCGTAGAAGAGGGAGGAAAGATTGGCCATGCTCTATCTCGTATTATTAAATCCAAACAATATCGATTTCTGCGACGGAAGCGTGAGACTTAACCGCAGTTCGCTTCTACTGGTCATCCATAACGTTTTATCCAATTGAGCGGAACCCTTGCTTTGCCATAATGATGCCCTTTTAGTTATGCAATCTCATAAGCCCAACGTTCGTAATACTACCTGATGCGATAATTTAATCCCTCAAGCGTGTATGTACCGGAACTGAAGATAAAGAGCATCATAGAGAAATAAGAAATAGAGGTGGAGGTGTCGTGTGCTCCAAATTTGGCATTGATCTCACACATACGGATTGCTGGGCTCGGTATGGCACATTTTAAGGCATTTTAAGTCAAATTCTCTGCAATTACTTTTCTACGGCAACTAGTTGAAATGTGTTGTCAGGAATTATATTTTTTCATTGCATACTCTACGTGGACGAAGTATTGTTCAATACAAATTTGCGTCACCGTGCAAACAAACTGTCTTGAAATATAGGTAACCCTAAAATCGTTTTCATTTTTTACTCACGGTCTTGAGTCCCGTCTAGCGCATAATTTATACGTTTGAATTAAATATGACTTACCATTGAATAATGAAAATTTAAAATGTACAGGTATGAGCTAGAAAATAAATCTTTAAATTTATTGATACTCAATCAATCGTCAGTTATGGAAAGATCGGGTTCCAAAGGCCGGATCCCTTGTAAATCAAATCAAGTCACGAAAAATTCAGGAATCGGCAACAGGCCATGGGCCTATTTCTTCAGTGCCGACACTTCTATTCTATAATCTTGCAAATAATTCTCGTGAAATTTAATACCGATACGCGGCGTGGTGGAGTGGTTATGATCCCGAAGACTGGACCAGCGATTTAGGTTCGAAACCAGAGTCGAAGTTCTGCTCGAATCCGGCAAGTTGGCCACTCGATCGACAATTCTATGGACCCGCCTGTAATTCATGTAAAAGTCTGTAATAATTCCTGCGGCAGCGCATCGATAATTAATATTCATATTCCAAAATTCATACAGATCCGTTAAGTATTTAATGGAATTATGAGTGGCCCAGTTGCGCGAGTCCGCAGGCGGGTCCGTAGAATTGTCGATTCAGTAAGTTGGCCAGGTAATTTTTGGACAGTGAGATTTATGCATAATGATTGACGAATTGTATGACATTGAACCTGCCGCGAATTCTTAAATGTTCAGGCCTGATCAACGATTGGGCTTGTGTCTTGGTTTTTAACGCTCACACAACAATTAAACATTATAATTATTCTTTCTGAAGAATTAATGAATGCGGCTGACCTAATATGTTTTTGCAATGTGTGTAATGACGCCCATTCGTATTATTTTTCGAAAAAAATTACTATTGTTACATAAACTATGAGAGTTTAGCATCTTCGAAAATTGAAAAAGGGAGTTTATAATGTTGTTTACAACTACAAGGGTTTTAATTGAAGTCTATGTTTGTAGTTGAAATGCGAGAATTTTTTGTTTAATTGTTATTTATTTTCATGAGATTAGTTTGGATTAAATGAAGTTATTTTTTCCAAGTTCGAATGGTATGTGCTCATTGGCCAAAGAGGTCACAACCTTTTTAGTTTTCTAAGATTACTACCACAGAAAATATGTCCTGTTCGTCGGTTGGCAACATCGGGCTAGTCTTCAAGCGGAGTGTTTTGGTTCATGTATGCGGTGATACGAGTGTAATCGTAAATAAAAGTTAATAATAATGGTGAGTGTCGCTGTTGACTAAAGTATGATGTATTGTGCTTCTTTCAATGTTATCCAGATCATTTTGTGACTAATTTATCATGTCAAGTGACTCGCAGTTTGATTTGCTTTTGGACAGAATTAGACGATGTTGTGGTAAAAAAATCAAATAGCTAGCCTAGGTACCTAGGCTACGGAACATAGCTACAAAATTAAATGTTCCATCCCTTGTTTGCTGCAATTTAACAGCTTTAACGGCTGAGTTTAACGTAGGTCAAAATTTTCAAATTTTTACTTACATCTATTAATTCATTTGTTAAACCCTGATGTGTTTTGTCATGAGTTTGTGTTTTTACTGTTTTAACCTGTCTATGAATGTCAAGTTGATAATCCCATACCTACTTAGCCTATTAGGTATTTTTTTGATAGGCCTAGCCCTAGGCCTACTTGATTTTTTTGATTTGCTTCAATTGGCCAAATTGAAAAATCAGATGGAATTGTAGGAGCTGCTAGTTGAAACTGGAAAATTTGGGCAGAGAGCATCAGTGAATTGGAGAAAATTGCTTGTTGATCTGTGATCTGTCCATTTCCACCCATTCCTACAGCCCAGGTTTCATAGTGTGGCATAAGAGTCGTTGTAATAGTATCTCAGGGGTCATCTGGTCGTTGAAAATTCACATACCACTCGTTGGTCGGTAGGTTTTCCAGTCGTTGGTCGGTAGGTTTTCCAGTCGTTGGTCGGTAGGTTTCTTAGTAGCTAGTTAGGTGACAGGTCAGTTAACAACGAAAAACATCGTTAATAAGAAGATTAGTAGATAACCTCAAGTTTTTGTACGTACATTGGATTGTTAATATGCAACAAACCACACGTATAATGCATTAATGGTTTAATTTCTTCACACCAGGTAGTACCGTGCCTTCTTTACTCCTGAACACTGACGTATCACTCACGTTGACCGCTTCTAATAGTGATGCGTAAATATTGCTCGTAATCAAACGCAAGCTATCCCTAAAATGCAGAGGGCACAGCTTTCTCGGAATGGCGAACTCATTTTTAAATACAAAAACTAAGATATTAATTTTGTTTCATTTTCAACTCTTTATCCTATGCCTGTCTCTTATACACATCTAGATGTGTATAAGAGACAGATGTTTAGCTTGTGACAAATTTTATAATTTCGACTCCAATCACAAGTCACACAGCAATACGTGCAAGAATTTCCTGTGGCCAACAAATTCTTCCGAATTACTTAGCAAATCTTAATAAACTCAAGAACAAGGACTCACTAAAGCTTTTTTGCATGTGTTAAGATCGCAATATTTTTTCCGATTACCGCTGCATTCTCAAGTTATATGGCTGATCTTTAGACATTCATATGAGAAGAGCTATAAACTATAGGGAAGGAATAAATTTCGAATAGAACATCGACTTAAAGCCTTCAAGTTTGAGGTCTAGAAATTTATTACTTGCTACGTACGGTCAGCATGTTACGAATGTAATAGTTTAAATTTTTCTCTGAATATCGTTGTGATCGGTTGATATTGATTATAATTGTGCGATTAATTTTGACCGTTGTGCGAAAACTACCTCCATTTGTACAAATGGTATGAAGGTTACTAAAGAGGCACACAGAAAATTTTATTGTAGTCAAGTTTCAACGTGAAAAGAAGTCAACAACCAGCGCCAATCTGTCGGATTTTTCTTCCAAGCTTGAACACATACGACAGCGGACAGACCGAACCAGAATTTTGTAAACTTGTGGCTGATAATCGGCGGATGCTGCCTTGAACATTTCTGTTTCCAGCGGTGGCGTGACTGGCATCTGAAACCAAAAAAATGCATGAGTGATAGCAGTCAGTGTATTATTTTTTAAAAATATCATGTATTAAATTATTCATAGTCATTGAAATATTTAAATTAACTATAATCCAGGTTTGGAGTCGTTGTAATGACCAAAAAATGGTCGTTAACTTTACAAAAAGTCGTTGAAATTCCAACGACTCTTGCCACTTTATGAAACCTGGCCTACAGGCTTTCTCAATTTATTCTGTATAAAAGTAGTATCTCCTCCTAAAATTTTGTAAACCACTTTTGAAAGTGTAGGTAGGGTAAACCCACAATCAGGATGATGTAGGTATGTTTTCGGTGAATTTTCCCGTGCATTTTCACTTTTTTTAAGCTATTGCTGTGCACAGTTGGCGCAATGTAATGAAAATTGATTATCTTCGCGCACGTGTTCGCGCAATCCCGGCCATCTTTATTTTAGAAGAAATTTTCTCCAAAGTCATATGGCAACGCTGAACACCGTCTGTTTACATTTCGTATGTATAACAGCCGCAGTGTACGATTACCGTACGTTCCGTATCCGACAACATAGTGGCAAAGCAGCAATTTTTTTAGACTCTTCATCAAGTTCATTTTTGAGTCCTAGCCTATAAGTAGACCTGGAAAGTATCTTGGATACCAGCATTTTCATACATAAGAAATTGATTAAAATATAGAGTAGATGAGGAAATTAAAAATGAACCGATTCTAAAAAATCTCTGGTTTGCCACTGTCCGACAAGGCGGACAACCGGAAGAGTCAGAAGTAACCCGGACATGTCTTACATTTTATTATTGTCAGTTCGACTCGCGTAGTCAATATACTTGCGTATTTTGTCGACTAAAATAGTAGAACTATTTTAGCTTTCTAAAGTACGGCGCACGGCGCATTTTTTTACCAACATAGTACGGCGCACCGCGCAGGTCGTTAAAATGACAAAATAAATTCCCGCACACCTGGCACATCTTCCTGACCATGGGGGTAAACGCAGTATATTCCTTCATTGTGGGTTCCTAATTCCGACACAGCGACACTTCTCAACTTTTTCCTTTATATTAAGGGGAGCGTCTACCCTAAAAATCATCTCGGCTATTTACAGTCGGATCACTCTGAAACTTGGTACACATATGTAAAATGGAAAAAAACTCGCATTTTGTTCGTGTGAATTTTTCAAAAAAAAAGGAAAGAAAACGTGAAATTCTTAGAAAATGGCTATAAAAGGGGGTACTGTAGAAATGGATCTAGTCCTAGGATTTCCAAGCTACAACATTGAGACTCATATCATTCGATGCGTGAGGTCTTCATCTACAAAATGTTCATCCCCTTTTTTTGAAATTCCAATTTTTGTGGAAGTGGGGTGCATTTTTCCAAAATGTTCGAAAATTTTTCAATTGTCCCCCCGCCACCCCCCTCTTTTTGCAGAATAAAATTCAAACTATAATGAAACTAGAAAAACCGGGATGAACATTTTGTAGATAGTTTATTTGCAAATTGAATGATATATGTCTCATTGTTGTAGCTTNAGTCTACGGCTCAATGTCGTGCTTGTCAAACCGATGTAATTTACATTTTGGAGAAGTCTACAACCTTCTTTCATGCAGGAAAATTTGTAAATGACATTGGTTTCTTGTAGTGGTCCGGACTTTTTACATGGATTATTTTTCATGATTAAATTCTTGATCTTTTTGTTTCTGTAGTAAATCATAAGTTGTATTCGGTCAGTTACTGTTGTGCAGCTGATGTTATTTTGCACAATTGAATTGAGGACTCGTTCGTCAGTCCTATGACCATCGTTCATTTGGTTTTGATAGTAAATTCTGGTGACACAACCTCTTGATGAGGAATCATCTGTTCGGTTTTGACGTGCTCTGATATTCGAAATTTCTTTGTCAATCGTTTTGTTTGCATAGCTGTTGTTGACAAAAAAAGTATACTTAAAGGTATACTTGTATTTGCTGATTTTATGTGGTAAATAAATTAATAGAAGAATGATTTAAGAGATGGTTCTAGACACATAAAAACTAATTCCGACACAGGGTGTTAGAATTACGAATTACGGTTTTAAAGCACTGTCGGATTTAGTCTCACAATACACCACATTTAGTCACACACAGTGTTGGAATTCAGTGATTTTGGAGATTTAAATTCTAAAGGCTTTTAAATAAATATGGCAACAGTTTGTGACTTTTCATCATTGCTGGTGCATAGTGTGGCATTTTGAGAGTGACGTAAACCAATCAGAACTTGAGTTGCGCATACGGTGATCTATTTATAGCCATTTATTTCTTGCTAGTTGCTACATTCTTAAGGTGTTGCAATATGGTGTGTTTACCCTAGTTATTATATTCTCACATGCACATAAGAAAATGTATCAAAAAGCATATCATGTTATACCTTCCAGGCTCCACCCACAGTGACAAAGCAAGGAGATCTTTAGCCTCTCTTTCAAGTTAAATTTCAAGTTTTATAAGCAGACCAGCAAAGTATCATGGATATCAACATCATCCTACATAAGATATTGGTTTAAATCTTGAGTAAATGAGAAAATTAAAAATGATCCGTTTCCAAAAATTCACTGGTTTGCCACTATGCTTCCACTGCAGTGACAATTGATACACTGAGGCTGGCTGAGCTAAACAGAAACTGCCGTGAATATTCTATCGCATGTGGGCCTTGGTTAGGAATACAATACTGAGTCAGCAATTATATTCACTAGTTGTTTATCAGAAGTTGACAAATTTTTGCAATGAATATGTTCCAAGATGAAGAAATATTACATCAACTTCCGCAAAAAATTCACACCATTTGGCCTATACCAACAAAGTTTTTTATATCATAAATGATGGGATAAACTGCAACTCTTTCATGCAAATTCACGGCGTACGGGCACATTGTGCTTCCATGAAAACATTTGACAGATGGCCTCACACACCTTGTTTTGGTCTTGTCAAGTTTAAATTCACAATAAATAAATTTGATCCACATTCCACACTGAGATTTAAATTATGGAAAGATGTTTCAAAATTTAAATGCCTGTAGCAAAACCATCTGTACATTGATTTATGTATTCACAACATCACAAAAGGGTAGGGGGTGGTGGAGTTCTTTAACATTTAACATAGGGAAAAGTTGCTGCAGTGCACTAGTCTTCTAACACTTTATTCCACGAAGAGATTGTCGTGGTGTCTCGTTCAGATCAAACTTCGAGGGCACGTTACAAGTGGCTAAAAAAGACACGAGAGGATAAAAACAGATGACGTCTATGCTAAAACAAAGGACATATGCCAAGACTGACAACGTCTATGCTAGAACAAACAACATCTATGCTAAACCAGTAATATCCATGATAGATTAGATGACAGCTAGGTCTAAGATTCAAAGGCTCTACGGAAAAGTTCTGTTTTTAGGCGTTGATGAAACAACGGCTGCAAGGAAGCAGATGTCACCAGTGCTGGCAGACCATTCCATGTTCTGGCTGCAGCGACCGGGAACGCTCTGTCGCCGACGGTGGACAGACGTGAGGACGGGGCGACAAGGTCAGCCTTCAACGAGGAACGCAGTCGCCTTCTAGAAGGCAGATCCGACACATGCCACAGGCCTTCAGCAAGATAAGGTAGTGCTAAACCGTGGAGGCAGCGGAACGTCAGAACAGCAACTTTTAACTGTGTGCGCTGCTGGATACGCAGCCAGTGAAGGTCACGGAAAATCGGTATCATGTGGTCAAATTTCTGCTGGGCACAAACGAGTCATTCATTACAAATTGCAGTTTGTTAAGTGCCGTGATGGGAAGTCTGTAGAGTGTGGCATTGCCATAGTCCAGTCTGGTCAGCACAAGTGCCACCATGAGGGCCTCGAGAGACAGCGACTGACGCTACAAATTCGCTGCAGGATGCCAAAACAAGCAGTGGTTACTTTGCTTCAGTAGCCCTGCTGCAGTCTTGTAGGACGGTTTGCGTGCCGTCTTTCGCACCATCCTTGACAGAAATTGAGCTCGAGTATTGACTAGTCTTGCATTCTTGCCACCTTGAATGCCTATTTCAAGGTGCTTGGGACTTTGTCAGGCTCAACTGAATAGTAAAATTATTATCACTACAAACCTATCTTCTAGAGTTATGAGCTACAGAAATGAGACATATCGTTATATTCACAAATAAAAGATCTATCAATTTANATACACATCTAGATGTGTATAAGAGACAGAAGCTAGAGTATAGACCTGTATTTTGCACATTTCAATTCAAGTTTAATTTAGCTAGTAAAAAATGGCATCATTTATAAAAAAAAGTGGTCTAAGTTGCCCCATTTTACGGTATGTGTTTTATGCCTATAAGAAGTTATTTTTTTTTACCTCAAACAACGTTTTTGGATAAAAAAACTGGTCTTGGTGGATCGGAAATAATATATGAATCATCATTTTTAGAGTTTCATCCTGGTATACAGTTTTATATTTTTCCATGCAGGATTGAAATATTCATACCCTTGTGGCTTCTTTGTGACAAGTTTGTGATAAATGGACTCTCATGGCTTGATTGTGATAATTCATCTAGCAGGATAGGTGATTTTGGTATGTACTAGGTAGGTCATTTATAAAGATGACTAAAATAGGCAATTCATCTAGCAAGAGTCTTGCAGCTCAAAAAATGGCTATAAAGCTCAGGTTGCAGTTTAAAAGGTACATATTTTTTCTTCCTGTTAGGCTGTTCCCACAGTCCTTTCCAATTTCTTCAATTAAATTAAAAAAAATGTCAATTTTTGCCTGCTATTTTTAAAAATTCCCAGTGAAATGATATATATATAACAGTGATTTCTGAATAATTCTGCATGATATCCAGATTCGATGATTGCTGTAAATTTCTAAATGGAAATAATCTATACAGTAATTCCTATAACTTTTCCTGGCTTAGGTATGGAACATGTATAATTGTTGAGCTATTAGTATAACCTATAAAGCTATAATATGACAGAATTTTTCTTTTAAACAAATATTCAAATAATTCTTTATGATCTGATCTAAAAAAAAAGTTTTAAACTAATTCATGAACAAAGGCCAGAGAATGAGTTTCATTGATGATTTTCCAATAAGTCAAATGATATTTTTTGTTGGTATTTGTAGATTTGAAATCTGACTACCAGAAGACATTTCTAATAATAGTGTTATCAACATTCATTATGAAGTTAGTGTTATCAATGTATAAACATTCAGTATGAATAATTGGCCTATGAATGATTGTTTTAACCCAAGATTTATGGAAAATTCTTAACTCTTGGCTTAACTTTGCTGTAATTATGTAAATTTGAGATCTTATGATTTATAATCATTAACAAGAAATGAATGGTGTTTCACTAGCAGTACATACTCGAGTTGTTTTCCAAAATGAGCATGCCATTAGAGTATCAATTGATGCTTGGATTGAAAAGAATTTTTTTTTTTCAAATGAACTTCTGTTAATGATACCCAGGTTGCTGCACAGCAGATATATAATATATACATACATTTTGAGCCAGAAAGTTCCTCCACAAACAATCTCAACATTTAGACCTGTACTTAAAACGTTTTTAACACGTTTTTCTTAGCTTAGCTTCGCGTTTGTTTGTTTGTTTGTTTGTTTGTTGTTAACATTGACAACGAAAATTAGACCACTTCTGATTGTTCTAGAGATCTGAAATTCGGCATGCAGGCTATTTTCGCCTAACAATTTCAGATACAATCATAAAAACTAGTAATTAGAGACCGAAATTAGTTTAATTGAGTAAAGTATATATAAATAGTATATATATAGTATGACGTGCGGGCGCTCACGTTATAGACGAGCAGGCGCTGACGCTGCGTATCATCGATACGTACGTCTAGTCATACTTAATCAAGTCTTAATCGTTTTTCTTGTGGACTAAAAAGTAGAAAATAAAATACTTTAAAAAACTTTTTAAAAAAACACGTTTTTCTTGTGGACTAAAAAGTAGAAAATAAATTATTGTTCTCCCGAAAAAAACGTGGGTCGGGCTGTACATTCACCATCAAATTTCCAAAATTTAAGTTTTGTGTGCTTTTCGCTTTAATCATAAATCTGCCCGAAACACGTTTTTTTGGGGAGAAACGAGAGAGTAAAACTACTAGGATTTGTGATGTAATGTGCAAGATTTTTGCTTTAATCCCTCCAAGGTGCTTGAGTCTTCGCTTCATATTTCATGTTATATAATGCTCACAGCAAGTGATGATAAATTCCCTGTATGCAATTTATTTGTTGGAGATTATGACTGTAATTTTTGATGCACCTCATTTTCATGTAGATCATTATTAGCACTGAAGAATAAAAATTACGCGTGTATTACATTTCAGGGTCGCGTTCGCACCAAGACCGTGAAGAAGGCCGCTAGGGTCATTATTGAGAAGTACTACACGCGCCTCGGCAGCGACTTCCAGACCAACAAGAGAATTTGTGATGAGATTGCCGTCATCCCTTCGAAAAGCCTCCGCAACAAAATTGCTGGGTGAGCATTGCTTCCTTCAAGTGGCGGCGGCATTTTTCTTTTGACGCTGTCTTGTGTTATGGGATGATATAAACTGGAGTACCGGGTCGCCCCGCGCTCCCGAAATAAACCCTCCTCTCTATATTCTGAACGAATTAATTGTAAACTTGAATGATGCAGGCATCAGCTCGTTGAGTGAATAAGCAAGAAAAAATGTCATATGGAGTAAGAATGATATTCATGAAAGATTCATAATCCTAAGCGGTCGGTGTTCTTAATAGATCGCGGTGTATATTTTTATACATCAGGATGAGTAGAATACCACTTGAGCATGTTGTTTCACTAGCGGGTCTTATTTATCATGAACAATTTTTATTCCTCAAGAATTCGAATGGAATAAAAACTTCTCAAGAGAATTCACCATCTCTGTATCGATCAGCTGGTCCGAAACCTACTCATCATTTTCATGAAAATGTTGAAGATATGGTGAATATACCTTATGTTATCTTGCTTCAAAATTTTTGGTGCGCTTGCGACTGAAGTAGACTAATGATATAAGTAAATCTATCAGCATGAAAGATTGTTTTTTTTTTTCAGATTCGTGACACATTTGATGAAGCGTATTCAGCGTGCGCCGGTGCGCGGCATCTCGATCAAGCTGCAGGAGGAGGAGCGTGAGCGCCGCGACAACTACGTGCCTGAGGTGTCGGCTCTCGAGCTCGACATCATCGAGGTGGACGCCGACACCAAGGACCTCCTCAAGATGATGGTGAGCTCAACGTTGAATAAGTTGATCTAACTTTTACGGATTTGACCTAAATAGTTCCTGGCATTGACATAGATACAGGATAAGAGAAATGTAGGAAATACGTTAGGTGTGTATGTTGTAGCAAGGACGGTGTTAATGAAAATACCGATGTAAGTACATTTTGAATAATAAATATTAGACTAAACGTAAAACTACCGTAGAGCAATTGATAGTAATGTTGAACAAACAACGTGTTTGCGCAGGACTTCGACAAGCTACCCGGCCTGCAAGTTACGCAACCTACTGTGGCTACACCGTTCAGTGGGCCCCGTCGTAACTAATTGTTTTCGGCAGGAATAAAGAAAAAAAATGACGATATAGTGTTTTATTACTTCATCTTTCTAAGTAATATTTATGCTGCATTAGTTAAGCTTCTCGTCTAATTTTAATATCAATCAATTATATTAAAATATTTCTGTCAACAGCTAATATCCATCAATGACCAGCCACTTTTCGTTTAGCTGTCTAATCTCCTTACTTAATATTGGATTACGAACCCTGAGCTTCACTTCTATTTTGCCTCCGACCATCTTTTTCCGTTCGTCACTCAGCTGAAAAAGAACAAAAATCACCAATGTTTTCACCATGAACTTGACTGATAAGTTGTAATGAGCAAACATTTTAAGAGTATTATGATAACTTCACCAACTAGTTCTTTCAACTTACATCAAATGAATCGTGCAGCGTACAATGGTTCTCCAGAGCGACTAAGGGGACTTTGGCACAGCCCACGATGGTGTCTCTTGAAAACCATCCTCTGCGTGAGGGAACGGGGCGTTAACAAGTTTTATTGGTCAATTATTTGTATTGCACGTTACCTGGGACAGATATTCGAAATTTGACATTTTAAAACCAGCACTTAATTTATGCAATAGGAATCGGGAGTGACGATCAATTGATATTTTTTGGCTATTCGAAAATTTAAAGCATAACGTTTTTTAAAGAGCATTTATTATTTTGCTCAGTTAGTCCATATGTTTACCCCTTGGCATGGACGGTGAGTTTGACGCTATGGCGCTTAAAGCACCGCGCCAACGCGCGCGTCTTCCGGTCGATGCTGAACAGAGTTTTGTGGTTATATTCTGGGTTGTTGGTGTCCTTAACCACACCAGTCCTGTCCACGGGGCAGTTTTCCTATGTAAACAGAAATTCAATTTAATCTACAAATAAATTTAAACCTTGTAAATCCATAAATCCACTCATAGATGATCGCAACAACAGAACAGTTTGACTGCGGCACCAGGGACATAGCGCGTAGTTTATAGACGTTCAAGTTTTAAACTGCTGTACTCACGGACGGGTAAGGAAACTCAATTTTCACATAAGTATCGACGTCAGTTGGATTCTGCACGTTATAATTAATGCCACGCATCACTGTAACTTCGCAGTCACTGTCGTTTAGATCCGTATTGCATCTGAAAAAAAAATCTAGGTACAGCACTCACAGGTGATCGGGGGCACACAAGAAAGGGATATTACTAATGAATTTGTAAAATTGTGTACATTAGTCCCTACAACGCATTTTGCAATGGCACAGATGTTTAAAATAATTAAAATTTGCTCACGGCAATAATTACATACATCGAGCATCTATTTAACATACTTTACATATAGCGCACATTGTGTTGTTTTGTCGGTAGAAGCACATGTAAAGGACTGAGCCTTGTACGAATTTGTGCACAAGTTTCACTCGGTCACTATGGTCTACACGTGAAATAATTATCGTCAAATAGGCTCCGCACGTGCAATCATTATCGTCGAATAAGCTCCACACGTGCAATCATTATCGTCATAACGGCTCCACACGCGCAATGATTATCGTCATATAAGCGCCACACGCGCAATCATTATCGTCATAAAGGCTCCACACGCGCAATCGTTAACGTCATATAGGCTCCACACGCGCAATCGTTAACGTCATATAGGCTCCACACGTGCAATCATCGTCATATAGGCTCCACACGCGCAATCATTATCGTCATAAAGTTTTATAGGTCGATGCTGAGCAGCGTTTTGTGATTATATTGTAATATTGCGCGTGAAATTATTATCGTCATATGGGCTCCACACATGTAACTACTATCATTATGCATTTATTCTACATGCTGCGAGTTGCCACCAACAAAATTTATACAAACTCGACAATGGAGAAGCTTCGGTTTTCGTAGTGGCAGCGCGGAGGCTTGTCTCCTCGCTTGAAGGCAAGTCTTACGGCGTCCAGTTCCTTCTTCGTGTTCACAATGAGCTGCTCGAAGCGATTGCAGCTCGCCACGTCCCCGACTGCTTTGAAGTGCTCGCGCGTTGTGGCGCACATCTGCCATCACATTCTTAAGTTTAATAAATTCACGACTTTCAACCCACTCTCCACTTCCTAACGGATTTAACTGTCCATGTGGCACATGTACATTAACTTTAACTGCATTTAGCACAATATCACTTTATGCCGTGTCACCTTGATTTGCTTGATGAGATCCTCCTCAAGTTTGGTGTAGATGAGGACCAAGTCAGCTGGCGTGCTGGTCGCAGGCATATCACAGTCCTCGGCGTTGATGACCTCAAACGCGTCATCCACAGACACTTCTCGGTTCAGACTTGGGCCTCCAGCAGCCTTCTCTTGAGGCGGCACTGGGATCTGGGAGGTAATATTTAATTAAAATCAGATGCTCAGTCAACCGTGAACAATTTGATGCCACTACATAACAGAACTAATTGCTAGTTGAAAAGTATAAATTACCAAATTATCCATCCAAGAATTCACGAAAATGTATCTGAAATCTATTAATATGACTTGAGTTATTATATTAATATTATTATCGAAAGTTATTTTCAAGTCGGGGTTTTGATATGAGTTGGTTAGGCAAAATGAGTTCATAATGCGATAAGAGACGATATCATGACGATAAGAGAATTAATAGTGTTATACTCTCCTTTAACTAGCTACCTATGAAATTTATTACGACTCACAGTGTTCATATCTACAGGTAGTCCGGCAGCAGTTGCCTGAATTAGGTTATCAAAACCTTTGCTGTTGCGCAGATATTCTTTGGCTAGTTCTATTTCTCCTTTCTTCTTGGCCTCTAGAGCAGCCGCCTGAAAGAAAAATATTCCTTTAAATTCGTGAACCAAAAATATCTTACCAGCCTTCTGCATTAAATTATGATATTTCAACCGATATGTGACGACGACACAACGTTGACATAGATCTCATAGAGCATCGATGTCTGATGGATAAAAAATTCAATGCATAAGGTTTAAACCTAAAATCGAGTTGACTAAAAATAAAATGCAAGACAAAAAGTGAAGATAAATAAATGAATGCTCATACATCATATAAACATAGACCGTAAATTTTCAACAAGAGAGTAGAATAGGTATTCAAAATCCTGCATTGAACGCCCAGAAGCTGGAAACGGTTGTCCTTGTAGCAATGAATAAAACAAACACGCTTTTAGATACAACGTCAACAATACAAAGTTCTGTGCGACCAACTTCTGTGTCTAACAATGCAGATGACATCAAAACTTCTATTCCTAGGTCATAGTTTAGTTGCGTATCATCTAATCAACAGGACAGCGCTTTCTAAACTTCTGAAAGTTTTACATCACTTGAACCACTAAAATAGGTTTAGTTCTCATTGTAAAGAGTAAAATCACCTTACCTTGAACTGATCCTGTCGTTTGGTGAGGAGGGACATCTGGCGTTCCACGCGTGACTTCGGAGCAGCTCGCACTGAATGTATCAAGAACACATGTAGAAATATCGTTTATGGGAAATCCCGATATAATATTTTTAGACGAAATAAATACTGCATGCTAACCTGACTAAAGCTTGAGTCGAATACAATGAAACAATTCCGATTGATTTCGGAGGAGTAACTTCAGAAGGTAGAGTCAAATATAGAGGAGAAATTACCGTTCATTTTGGAGGAGTAACTCCAGAATACCAAGCCACATATTTTTGAAGAAATTACCATTTGGTTTTGGAGGAGTAACTCCTGGAGGTTGTTGACGAGGTACTTTCGCTGGGGAATTACTATCACCACCGGGAGTTTGAGCCTGTGCAGGAAGAGCTGATGTAGGAGGCGTAGCTGGAGTAGTAACAGCCGCAATAGGAGTGGTAGCAGCAGCAGCAGCTGGAGTGGTAGGAGCTACAGCTGGAGTGGTTGGAGCTACAGCTCCAGGCGCCGGTGTGACCACGCTGGCAGGGAGAGGTGCAAAACCTGGAAACAAAGATATACTGAACATGTGTTATATGCATCAAAACTCTTTAGTAATATTATACGAAAACATCACGGCAATAAGTTGTAATTTGAAGAAATCACCAAACTATGCTCCTCTATAATATTTTTTTGATTATCACTATTATATTTCTTGCACATAAAATAAATGAAAAATTACGGAAATACGTTATATAAACAGATTGGTGCGGCAGGTATGAAATTGAAAATCATTAAACTGATAACAATTCTCCGTAACAACTTGTTCCTGGACACCATTGTCAACATGCAGCACAGAGCACAGTAGTAAAAGGTAGTGGTAGTGCAGTGAAAGGTAATGGTTGTGCAATAAGAGGTAATAGTAGTGGAAATAGGTTGATGCAGTATAAGGCAATGGTCGAGCAGAAGGTAATGAAGGTGTAGTGAAAGGGAATAGTTAAATAACATGAGGTAATAGTTGTGGAAATAGGTTGACGCAGTATAAGTCAATGGTCGAGCAGAAGGTAATGGCTGCTGACCAGGTGGTGATGGCAGGTCACCGTACGCCACAGGCTTGCCCAGCTTGTGGCGTTTGATGGCATCGTCGTACTGTTTGATGATGCGGTCGTTCATCCGCTCCTTGCGCCCGTTGCCCTCCGACTGCCAAATACAAATTCTTGACAAACGAATAATAAAACATCGCTTATTTGGCTCTTGAAGTACTTATATCATAAATCTGCTAAAATCAAACGGTGAGCATGAATTCAAAAAGAAATAGTAGATATGATAGTAGATAGCCAAGTAGATATGATGAATGTACCAAGCGTTTTCATTACTTCAAAATAAAAATTTTTGATAAAACTATTATTTTAATTTAAATTTTTAATAAAAATAAACTTTTTAATAAAAATTGCTTTTAGGCATCATGAGCCATGCGTAATACGAAGATTTCTAATGAAATTCCTATTTGGAACCAACATCAAGTTAACAGTGAAATTGTAGCAACTGAAGACGTGAAAATTGATGGTTTAACTTCAACGTCACGCTCAAGAGGTTTATGAAGGAAATTCATTGATGCAATATCAATCAATCAACTATCAGTATCAGATGACCTCTACAACGCGACATCTTTATTTAATGTCATATAAAATAAATGTTTCATTTTTTATTGCACCTAAGCTTGCATAACGCATTAAACATGCGTACACATAAATTTTATTACACACAAGGCATAAAATATGCGTAATATGTTATCAACTTTCTTTCTTATGGACATTAGAAAGTTATACTTTAGCTTTCTCGAGTTGCTCGACGTATTTCGCACGCCGGTCTTGTAGAGCGTCAAGTATTGAACCCGGCGGTACAGGCGGAGGCTCGGGGACACTCTCGAACTCTTCACTCGCTGAAATAAGCAAGAGCTTACAACTTAGAGAGAAGTAGGAGCTTTGTTTAAATCGATTATATAGATCAGAGGCAAATATATAAAAACATCGTTAAGGTAATAAGACTTAAGTTAGTTAGTCTAAGAGTTCAGTCCTCATTAACACCTGCAGGAGCGGGAGCAGGGGCGGCGGTGGTGGCGTTCACGGTAGGGGTGGCGGGAACTGATGTCGTCGTGTGAGCTGATGGAAATTTGGGCCGTTGTTAGCAGGATTGGTCAGGCCAAATCAACACAGTGATTTATATTAAAAATTCTGTTTGAAGAAAGAACCAACGTAAAATATTTATATATTGCAAAAAGCAGACCTCAGTACAACGGAAATGTTTTCATTTCTCTTTCGAAACACTGGTTGCACAAGTGATTACAATTTCAACGAGATACTCCAGACCATAGTTTCTCAAACATTTGTGATCAAATAGCCATGAGAGGCTCCGTACAGTCACCGCTGAACAGCGTATTAGAACCTAATGCCAGCAGTAGCATTAGCAAATATTACTAGCAGCATTTTGTTTTCCATAAAGCACTAGTAGTCGACGCATCAAGCGTGTATCGTTGTAGTGTGTATTTAACGGAGGGCCCTTAGGACCTTGTGGGTGGCGAGAGGCAACAGTTGCACATCGTTGCCATATTATCTTGTGTTAGGCAGTGAACTTTATTGTCAGGTGAAAAAAAGAAGATAAATTCGTTCCTGAAACCGAATGTGTTCGCGTAGCAACTGCAAGGCCATCATGAACTACAGACTGGGAAATAGTCTGCTGGACTCTAAATAGAAAAGAAAGTATGGCCCCAGGACTAATGTGATATGCGCACGGTATGTAAATTAAATACAATGCTTTTATATTGTATTTCATGTTTAATGTTCAAGAATTATCTGTGTAAGTAATGTTCATGTTATAATGAAAGAACATGAAATAATTTACTGTAAATTTCTTCAGCTGTTATAACTGGGGACAATCTTACTTTGTTATCATGAGATGATATAATTTCATCTTAGTTCATTTGAAGTCAAACCGAAAACTAAAACTAAGTATCATACTTTTAGACTAATACCTATTTTTTTTTAATAAATCGAAAACGCACGGTTTCAGTAAAAGCCAGGGCGTGAGGCAGAGACGACGTAGAGGCTTTTCTTAAAGGGGCATCCCGGGCTTCGGGCACTTCAAAACTTTTGTTGGCTGCAGGCCTACTAGGAAATTCAGGCGGGGGTAAATTTTCCCTCGGGGAAGCAGGAGTCGGGGTAAAAGTCGCGGGGTCGGAAGGCGCTGGAGTGAAATGTTCGGGGCTGAGAGGTCCCGTGGGAGTAGCAGCGGGGGTGGGAAGTGTGGGGGTGACGGCACGAGACGCACTCCTGACCACCACTTCAGGAGGGATGTCCTCTTCGTTGATTGCCTTACCGGCCTCCAGGCTCTTCTTCATCTGGTATAGGGTTTTGAGGCCTCGACTGAATCTGGAATTCAACGATTTGTCAACAAAGTTGATGATTGGTAAGAAAACGGGAAGATTATTCAACATTTTCGACGACTTTCTGGAGATCAAACGTTTTAATTTAATTTTAAATCATTGTCATAGTAACTCTTCAACAATCTCAGGAATAAATAACTCAATTTAGTTAGAAACAGAGAAAAGGCATTATTCCGTAAGTCAGCATTGTTTTCACTCAACAAAATACTAACACTGTTTTTCGTTCTTCACTGATATTCTCGATGAATAAAGTTGGAACTTCAGCCATTAAAAGTAGGAAAAACGTGTTCAACTTTAACCAATGACGTACATTCTAAGCGCCAGCACCGACACCCCTGCGGCGGCCGGTGAGGGGCGCTGGATCACAGGGGCGTTGCGTGTTGGCTCTCTGGGGGCCACGCTTGTTGGTTCAGGGGCCGCTGTCTCGCTCAGCCCCAGCAGCTCGTCCTGTGGGCAATGGGTGCTGAACATGGTGTTCTGTACTGTATACAGAGCGTACTGTACTGTATAAATTGTCTAATTTATTGTACCTATATATAGCATACAGGGCCTATACTTTCAAAAAGAGTTAAGAAATTAAGAAATCGTAAGTTCATCAGCCAATCATTGACGGCATTTCAAGCAAAATTCACCAACCATAGACAAGAAAATTGAGCGTAAGTACTTACGTTTACTTAGCGAGTTTTGAAAGTATGGCCCCTGTACTGTACGGTATACATAGTGTACTGTACAGTATACATAAATAGTGTAGAGTACTAAATATGTAGTGTACTGTGAAGAAAAGCTTTTTCCTGAGCCTTCTCTACTGGGTAGCGAAGAAGTAACACATAGGAACGTATCTCATCTACCCGACATTTCTATTTATTTGACCGCCCCATTTAATGCACCAAGTAACACAGTGTACAATGCAGTGTAAGAGATATTATGAATGAAATGGGGAGCCAACAGCGTTGTATTTAGGCAATGAAGATTGTTAATATGAATTGTTTTGAGCCGTCTCGTGCATGCAATGCGGAACAAGCCTAGTGCAGGATCTAGTGTAAGAAAACAAATATTTTGGGTGGCATTCATATTTATTTATGAGCAGGTTGAGTAGTTTCCAGTTCTCTAAATCGTTCAAGGAAAGTTGTTAGGAGCTAAATTACACACGGAAGATAGACCACTGATCACGAACATTGAATGCTATCAATGCCTCAAAATAGACAAATAGATATTTTAAATATTGAAGCACGTCATATATATTTGTGACGATGAGCTCACCATTAGAGCAGGATCGTCCTCATCGTCTGACGTGACTTCAACGTCGTAGTTTTCTGAGAGGCATTCAGTAACCATGTTGTCCAGCTGCCGTAGACCTTCTGGTAGCACCGCTCTCTCCTTGTCTCTAGTGACTTCTGCTCAAAAAAACTAACCTGAGAAGTTGAAAGTAATTAAACCGCCTAGTAATTTCAACATATAACAGTATAACAAAATAAAATTTGAATCTAACATGCACGTAATTGGGAATGCATACTTCGGATGTCACGAGAATTATCGAGTTTCACCTATTATAATTGCACCTGTATGCAAAAGTGACCTCGTTAACGAAAATTAATGTTAATTAACGTTAAGCTAATATAGTCACAATGAGGATAAAAGTGACACTAAATGTGGCACATATAGTATAGTAGTATAGTATCTTCGGCATTGAAAAATAGGCCTGCATAAGCCTGTCGCCGATTCTTGCACTTTTCTTGACTAGACTGGCCTTTTGATCATATCTTTTCAACGGACGGTAGATTTAAAATCGATTCTAGATTTCAGTTGTTCCGTAGGATACGAGGCATTTTAAGACATATGACAGGTAACGAACGAGAATAAATCTCCAATCGACCAACAAATTATAATGTCATTTTTAGGAACAAAAAGAAAACAATTAGAACAAATGCAAAAAAAGGCTAGAAGCGTTTACGTTGTTGCTTAGGAGGTCTCGGTGGAGGAGGGGCGTCCTCCTCCATGAGGGCGAGCAGCTCAGCCTCCAGTCCTTCGTCAGCCTTGTCGTCCACCAGGTCCTCCAGTCCACCCACGCCCAAAAGACCCATCTGAAAAATAAATATAACTCAGTCCTCACTGCAGTGAGTGACAGAGCGCGCATTTTCTCGTCGACGAAAACGTGAAGTCACGGACGGACAGACGGACATGGCGAGCACAATGGTGCATTTTTTTCATAAAGGAGAAAATGCGCTAAAAACAAGGCTTTGTTTATGGATACATTAATGTATCCATATTAATGTAATATTGATACATTAATAGAAGCAATGATATTCGTGACTAAAGGCCAACCTAGGTACGCGGTGGTCTATTCCTCCAACGCCTACGAAGCCCATCTAAAATAAATTAAAGCTGAATTAAAGAATGCACTGATTATGTTAGTGACGATACTTATGCCTACAGGTCCGGCAGTGAGGATTACAGTTAGTATACAAAAAGTTAATTATCAGTATACAGACATAAATTACAATATATATAACAGTAAAATTTGAATATGTATTTGCAAATGAAAGATTGTATTACTTTTGCTGATGCCCAACAATAGTAGAGATTTTAGTCATAGTACAAATCAACAAATGTAAGATTGCGTTCACAACTACACAAGAAAAAAATTACCATGGCTTCTGTAGCTCCAGTAGGTTCTAAAAAATTCAGCGATAATATTCTTGTAATCATTTTATAACTAATTCATTTATTGGGAATCTTAATTGTATATTAAATATTAATACGAAAGGTAACATAGCATACTTGTGCAAGACGTGCGTCATCAGTTGTGTGGGCTGCTGGAAATTTGGGCCGTTGTTAACAGGATTGGTCAGGCCAAGTCAACACATTGTGAATTATATTATAAATTCTGCTTGAAGAAAGAACATATGTATAATATTTATATATTGCAAAAAGCAGACCTCAGTACAACGGAAATGTTTTCATGTATCTTTTGAAACACTGGTTAGATGCAATAGTTATTACAAATTCACGAGACCAAAGTTTCTCAAACATTTGTGAACGAATAGCCATGAGAGGCTTCGTACAGTCACCGCTTAGCAGTGTACAGTCACTAGCAGTCGGGGCATCAAGTGTGTATCGTTTGGATTTAACAGTGGGATCTTAGGCCCTTGTGGGTGGCGAGAGGCAACAGTTGCAAATCGTTGCCAGATTATCTTGTGTTAGGCATTGACTATATATGTACCAACTATATTACCAAGTGAAAAATAATATGATAAATTAGTTTATAAAACCGAATGTGTTCGCGTAGCAACTGCAAGGCCCTCATGAACTACAGACTATGAAATAGTCTGCTGGACTCTAAATAGAAAAGCTTCACGACTCGAGACTAAATTCTGAAACTAATTATAGAGTGACTTTCTTTAACTTTCACTTTCACCCTTTTTTATAACATTTATACAGATATCAATTATATCTGTCAGTTGCAGGTGGCTCATACATTTAACAAGAATTACCTACAGGTTATCATCAGTTAAAAATTTCCTGAGATGATAAAATAACCAAAAACAAATAGACCATTTCTAGAGATTCTAATAAGATTATGAAATAAATTGACCACTCCCAGAAACTATAATAAGGTATGAAAAACCTTATAACTTTATTATAGAATACTCATAAATGTATAACATGATGAATATTAGGTACTATAAATAAATTGACTATATACAAAAATTACAGACTATGTTATGAGTATAAAAAGTGTATAACATGATTTATAATAAAAGTATATAATAAATGTACCAGTAGCAGGCGAGGGCGGCAGTGACGTCATGTCAACAGGCTCGCCCCTGAGGGCGGCGTCCAGCAGCGGCTGCAGCTGCTTGGCCGTCCTGAAGAAGGCGACGGCGGCGGCCTGATCCCCGCGCTGCTTAGCGTCCAGCGCCGCGAGCTTGTAGGTCTTCTGAAGCTCTTGTAACTTGTGTGTAGGGCTCTCCTGCTCACGCATTTAAACNAACTCAATTTAGTTAGAAACAGAGAAAAGGCATTATTCCGTAAGTCAGCATTGTTTTCACTCAACAAAATACTAACACTGTTTTTCGTTCTTCACTGATATTCTCGATGAATAAAGTTGGAACTTCAGCCATTAAAAGTAGGAAAAACGTGTTCAACTTTAACCAATGACGTACATTCTGGATCACCTCAATCATAACCTATACAAAACCTTTAGAGCCTTGTGCATTAAATACAAGCATTTTTTAATATTTATACTACTTATATACATTCAATACTTCAGTACCGGTATACTAAATGTTCGCACCGTTTTGCCCTGGATAACGAATGAGAACCATTCTTGATCACCTCAATCATAACCTATGCAAAACCTTTAGAGCCTCTAGCATTATATACAAGCATTTATTAACATGTATACTTCTTATATACATTTAATACTTCAGTACTAAATGTTCGCACCGTTTTGCCCTGGATAACCAATGACAACCATTCTTGATCACCTCAATCATAACCTATACAAAACCTTCAGTGCCTTTAGCATTATATACAAGCATTTATTAACATGTATACTACTTATATACCTACATTTAATAATTCAGTATCCTAAATGTTCGCACCGTTTTGCCCTGGAAGGTTAGTGTGGCAAAGTTACTGGAGTTTTTCGATTACATAAATTTAATATACATTCAATACTAAATGTTCGCACCGTTTTGCCCTGGAAGGTTAGTGTGGCAAAGTTAATGGAGTTTTTCGATTACATAAATTTAATACTTAATTACTAAATGTTCGCACCGTTTTGCCCTGGAGATCTCGTTGTCGCGGTTGGCTTGAGCCTCGGCGCGCTCGTAGTTGTCTATCCTGGCATTGAGTAGCGCCAGCACCGACACCCCTGCGGCGGCCGGTGAGGGGCGCTGGATCACAGGGGCGTTGCGTGTTGGCTCTCTGGGGGCCACGCTTGTTGGTTCAGGGGCCGCTGTCTCGCTCAGCCCCAGCAGCTCGTCCTGTGGGCAATGGGTGCTGAACATGGTGTTCTGTACTGTATACAGAGCGTACTGTACTGTATAAATTGTCTAATTTATTGTACCTATATATAGCATACAGGGCCTATACTTTCAAAAAGAGTTAAGAAATTAAGAAATCGTAAGTTCATCAGCCAATCATTGACGGCATTTCAAGCAAAATTCACCAACCATAGACAAGAAAATTGAGCGTAAGTACTTACGTTTACTTAGCGAGTTTTGAAAGTATGGCCCCTGTACTGTACGGTATACATAGTGTACTGTACAGTATACATAAATAGTGTAGAGTACTAAATATGTAGTGTACTGTGNATATAACTCAGTACTCACTGCAGTGAGTGACAGAGAGCGCATTTTCTCGTCGACGAAAACTTGAGGTCACGGACGGACAGACAGACGGACGGACGGATATGGCGAGCACAATAGTGCATTTTTTCATAAATGAGAAAATGCGCAAAAAACAATGCTTTGTTTATGGATACATTAATGTATCCATATTAATGTAATATAGATACATTAATATGAAGCAATGATATTCGTGACTGAAGGCCAACCTTCGTGGTCGTCTATTCCTTTAACGCCTACGAAGCCCATCTATAACAAATTAAAGCTGAGTTAAAGAATGCATTGATTATATTAGCAATGATATTATATTTATGCCTACAGGGCCCATACTTTCAAAAAAAGTTAAGAAATCGTAAGTTCATCAGCCAATCATTGACGGCCTTTCAAGCAAAGTCCAGCAATCATAAACAAGAAAATAGAGCTTAAGTACTTACGCTAACTTAACGAATTTTGAAAGTATGGCCCCAGGTCCGGCAGTGAGGATTACAGTTAGTATACGATAAGTTAATTATCAGTATACAGACAGAGATTACAATATCTATAACAGTAAAATTTTAATATGTATTTGCAATTGAAAGATTGTACCGGTATTACTTTTGCTGATGCCATCAATAGTAGAGATTTTAGTCATAGTACAAATCAATAAATGTAAGATTACGTTCACAACTACACAAGAAAAAAATTACCATGTCTTCTGTAGCTCCAGCAGGTTCTAAAAAATCACTGATAATATTCATTTAATCATTTTATTACTAGTTCATTTATTAGGAATCGTAATTATATATCACATATTATTACGAAATGTAACATAGCATACTTGTGCAAGACGTGCGTCATCGCGTGGAGGTCGAGGGGCGCTCCGTGAGGCGGGCTTCTTCTTTTTGTCGTCGCTCTTCCAAGAGAACATTTTGCCACACGTAAAATGTTCTCGAGTTTTTCGTAGACAAGATTTAATGAGTTAAAAAATTTATAATCAAGAATTAATCAGCTATAAGTAACCATGGTAAGACTCCTGAGTTTAGCAGTCAAGACTTTCCTAGTTAAGTTAATGATATTTTTCAGTGCAAACGGTGTTAGACAAGCGAGTGAGCAGGCTGATGGGAACGACACAATTAATAATTAGCAACAAAAATGGCAGGGGATGAGTTGGTTGCGAGGAAAGTTCAATCTCCAAGTTTGAACTATCGAAAGTTCATTGAAAGTAATATTAATTTCTCTACATTATCGAGCTAATTAAAATAAAATAATAAGGCTATTACTCAATAGACATGCAGGAGCTTTGAATGAATTATCTATCTAAAGCTACTAAGAAGTGTGGAGCATTACCTATCTTCGATAACGCACAAGATACATAAAAACTGCTCTATATCGCACGTCTCTAGTGTTAGTCAGACACTCAATTAGATTATTTAGATACAAGTTTTTAGTGACAATATTAGAGTGTTTAAAATAAGTTTTTCCGGGGCGTTTTGTGGCACTATGGAACAATTGAAACGCAAGATGCAGAGACGGAAAACTACAACAAATTTCAATTTTTTTATGTCGAGAAACAAATAAGATATAGATGAGAATGGCAGCGCTAGAAGACTAAAGGAATGAAACAGGCACGAAGTTAGGAATGATGAATATTTCTGCAAAGAAAACAAAAAATGTTTAGAGCATTCAAGCAGGAATTTAAAACGTACTATAAATTATAACGAGCTCTCCTATCGATGCGCGAAATGACTCTAAAATGCAATACAATTCATATCTGCAATTTATACGTAACTAAATAGACATATTTGTCCCTTAGATTTTATATGGACGGCAAGTGTAATTAAGAAGCTAAGCAACTAAAGGAAGAACCCCTGACTCAGCAAGACCAAGACTGAACATACCAACACTTATGTCAATGTTTTCAAGATTATAAGGGAATCTCGTTTAATAGCTCGTCTAAAGCCCTTATTTTCAAGAATCGTCACGACCAATTTAATTTATACCAATTGACTCACAGATTTAATCACAAAACTGTTCCCTGAGTGTACAAATAGAATACAAGTTAAAAAAACCTATGCTAAAGGTTTTTAAAGATGTGTGATCTTTCTACAAGCTGATCACACACACGTAACAGTTATATTAATACATATAAACTGGTTAATATACGTTAATATACGCATATGTCAACTGGTATATATAAACTGGTTATGTTAATATATATAAACTGGTATAAACGTGCTGGGATGTCCCGGGGGTTTGCATGCCCCTAGCAATAGGGTAAACCCGATTGCCTCCTTGCGGGTATAATAATCGTCATAACATTGATGTGTAAATTAATATAAATCACCATCTACTTTTAGCAAATTTGATAAGTAAAATGTATAACATAACATAACATATTGATCTCGGCGCTTAAGTGTAGGCCTGATGTGGTCTGTCGCCGATTCTTTTCCTTTTCGTGCCTTGTTCACAGAAGGTTGAATTTATTAAATGATTTGATATGTGGGCCGAGTTAATAATCATATAACAAAGTTCAATTAACATTTCATTAATGGAGCAAAGCACTGACCGAGTTACGAGACACTGCATAGCTAGCATTCTAGTTCTCGCAGGTTACATTGTAGTGCGTTTAGTGGAAAGCAAAAACGAAAAATTCAGTTCTCATACTTTTTTTTTTTTTTGACAAACCAATTGACAATACAAAAATATATTTCACATTATAATCAACAAGTAACAAGTAGAATGGCTAACAAAACCAGGAATATTTCCTGGACCCATAACATCAGTCAAAACAAGGCAAGATATCACACTGTAGCGAAGCACCGTAAATCATTTAACATAGCAGCAAGGCCTAACTTACGATAACTTTTTAAATACACGGCATACAATCCACGAAACAACTCAAGAACATTATTTTAAAAATGCAAAATTAGGCAAGTGCGCCCGCTTTTTTTAACATAATTCAACCAGAAAAAGTATCACACGAGAACTAAACGAGTTAACAGCAGCTATTCCCGAGTTTACTTAACTAGAAAAACTCTAAACAAACTATTCAAAACTTAAACAATATTTCTCATAATTCAAACAATTATAACAACAAGAGACTAGGAGCAAATGTTAACATCAACAACTAAGGCCGTGGTTCCATGTTTCTAAGCCGGTAGAAGCTATCAATTCAAAAACAAATAAAATTTGTTCTAATATTCTTGGAGAATTGAATAATAATAATTAAAACATAGGTAATGCAATCATTTAAATGAACAAAGTTCATTCATAATTGAAAAACATTCACTAGGAGGATCCGATACCACAGCACAATTAAAGTCGCCTCTCTTATATATTCGTTGTGCATCTGTTCATATTCTGTTGTCCTAAAATATATGAAAAAACAATTCATTATTATCGTTCTCATATGACAATTCATAATTCAAGAACTTGGGTTAAGTTAATCCTTTTCTATCATCCACACATTCTAAAAATGTATAAAACGTAATTTTGTGACGAACCTTTCTCATTTGATAAAACGTTTGTTGTCATCGGCCAACACTTGACTTTACACCTCCAAGAGGGGTCACAAAAAGGCCTCAAATATTCACAAAGTTTTACAAAAAGGCCACGTATAACTGTAAAGAGGTTACAAAGTTCCACAAAAAGGCCACAAATGGCCCCATTACTTAGAGAATGTGAGCCATTGCTGCGGGTTTGTGGTGAGGAAAGCCGACACGACGTCTGGAGCCAAACCTCGCGAGATCATCTTGGGCACAACATTCTCGAAGATGTGGCAGAATCCGTGCCCGCCGTACTCAGTCTACAAAAATTAATGAGTTTACATTTTTAAACACTCAGGTATTAACTACCGGTACTAACAAATGCTAGTCCAAGAAAATTGATTATTAGAAGTAGGTTGTTAGAATCCATGAAAGAACAAAGAGAATGAGGTTTTCTGTTCATCAATGACGCTTTCAATAAAATCGGAAGTAAAATATAGAAATGTGCAATGTAAAACTTTCAAACAACATGATATCTAGAAACATTTGTCGACCAGAAATACAGTGACATATATTAAAAATATAAAGTTGATTAAGACAATACAATACCAGTCAGTTTCTCGAGTGGATGTCATCATAGATGAGAATTTAGATTAAATCTAACTATCCAGGAGTAGAAAACATTTGACAATACCGTCATACCAGTCTGTTGCGGATGTAGATGTCATTACAGCTGAGAATTAAAAATAAATCTAACTAATTCAGCAGTAGAAAACATTTGACAATACCGTCATACATCTGTTGCGGGGTGGATGTCATCACAGCTGAGAATTAACAATAAATCTATCTACTCAGTAGCAGAAAACATTTGACAACACGTCATACCAGTCTGTTGCGGGGGTAGATATTATCACAGCTAAGAATTAACAATAAATCTAAACTATATTATCACAGCTAAAAATTAACAATAAATCCAACTATTCAGTAGCAGAAAACATTTGACAACGTCATACCAGTCTATCGCGGGCATATATGTCATCACAGCTGAGAATTAACAATAAATCTATCTACTCAGGAGTTGAAAACATGTCATCACAGCTGAGAATCATCAATAAACCCAAGTATTCAGTAGCAGAAAACACTTGACACTACGTCATACCAGTCTGTTGCGGGTATGGATGTCGTGAGATATAAGGATTCGGTCGGCATAGCCGCACTCGACGAGGTGCTTGATGCGCGCGATGCGCTGAGCATCAGACGGCATGTCGACGGCCGCGTTGAGCTGATAGTGCGATGTCTCCAGCCCGAACAGGTCGTACTCCAGGTAGCTGCCCAAGGCTGCCAGCTCTGCTAGACCCTCCATGGTGTGGATCGTACCTGTATGCCATCCAAATGATATTAAAAAAGACTAAGTTCGAGACTCAATAGAACTGAATTCGATTATAATAAAAGTAAAAAAAGTAGGATTTATTGATTTATTCTGGCATTCCTGTTATACATGTGCACAATGCAAAGTTACACATGAAAGTAAAACTGAGAAATTATGTCTGTCACATAATAATTGATGAAGCGTTTTCACATGTTTATCACACGAATGTCAAAAAGTAAATTAGAATCTTGACTGGGAAAAAGCAAGAAAACGCACAAATGACAGCTCGGCCTTATATAATAAGCCGAGTGTGTGCCAGAAATCTTTAGTCTTAGATTGTGTTCTCATCCTTAGATCGTGTTCTCATCCATAGATTGTGTCTATGTAATAATTGGCAGGACGCCCACATAAAAGGCTCAGTAACTTCACAGGTTTTTATGTCTTATATTGTCTCATAAAATTTTAAGTAATTTAGCAACCATAAATAGTAGTACCAAACATTTTCCCTAACTATGATGCAGAGTTCAAACGGCAGGAAATATGGCACAGCTCACGGTCCAAATGCGCCATGACGGCATGCCGAATGTCGCCTCCCGCCTCGGCATACACGCGCAATATCTCGGCAGGGGCGTCATGGTGGCGCCCAGGGTGGAACATGACAGGGGCACCTGTCTGCTCCTGTGTTATGCCTGCCGCTCTGATGCTCCGACGCTCAAAATCTGGAAGAAATATGGCGGAGTTATTATTAGACTCGGTCAGTGGCAGACTGTCTCGTCAAATGATTGTCCCACTGGATGTAGTCTGTGGCAGATTGTCTCATCAAATGCAGTCTGTCACTAACTTTATATCGGAAGCAGTCGGTCAATGATTGTTCCATCTGATATAGTCCGTCACTAAATTTCAATACACAATAATTCCGATAATTTTTAACTAGGACAAAGCCTGCACAACTCAGCATGCTAAGCACACAGAAAACTGTTGGCATAGGAGCACAGCTTTAACTGTGATGGGCTACAAACTACCTATTAAAAAAAAAAACACATCAACAAGCAAAACCTGCACGTCTCAGTTAGCTAAGTTGCTGGCATAGGTGGTAAAGTTTTACCTGTGATGGGCCAGGAGCTGCCAATTTCCCCAATAATGCCACAGCGGATGGTTGGGTCCTCATCACAACCCTGGGTTACCTCCTTCAGGATTACTTCACACAATTGTTCTGTGCTCATTGCTAGCACTGAACTGGGCAGACTTGGTGACACATAGAAACCTGAGACATTAATTTCATTTGAACTCTCGGGGAATGTTGATACCATAATAGATAAGTGATGTGAACATTTAAATTCATGATGCATAATGAATGTCCATAATTCTTGAGGAAAGAATGTAATATTTTAATCATGGCAACAATATGACATTTGTGTGGTTACTGGTTAGAATAGTAACATGAAATGCATCCATCAGCGAAAGACTTCTCCAAAATGCTAACAATTTTCTTAAAAGAGAATTACTCTCAACAAAGCTACCTACTCCTTTCTAGATGTTAAAATGTCAAAATAAAATATTTCATTGATTTTCAAAAATTTGAAAAGAAAGTATGTACTTACCTATATGAAATAGCAGCAAAATTAAGGATTCAAACTGAATAAGTACATATTACTTAGATATATCAATAAAGAAAGCTCATCAAGTAATCTAGAACTAGAATAACCTGTGCCAGCAATGATGTTGACATCTGTTGCCTTCATGAGCCTTTTACATGCCAGCAAATTTCTTTCAATTCCAGTGATTGTATTCTCAACAATTGTGCCACCCCCAGCCTTCTTGAAGAGCTTGAACTCGTCTTCCACCATGCGCTCCACCTCATCTCCGCTGTATTTGATGTTTTTCTTGTGGCTGTAACTGCACATCATGAAGGTATGAAAGTCATCTTTAGAATTATTCAAATGAATAAATCACAGCCTGTTTAACTTAAGACCCAGATACTATTTTTTTAATAGAAGAGAAAATAGTGCGCAACTATAGCTTTCTTGAGGAATATATTAGTTTGGAAATAAAAATCCTTAAGCTGGAAGTTAATGTATTTAGTTTTGATATAAGTTTTCACTTCACACTTCTAATTCTGAATTTGTTAAATAGGTACCAAATTATGTTGAATGAAGTAAAATATAAAGATGACCAAATTGCAGTGATGCATGCATTTATTCACTTTTAAGATTTCTCCCATCAACTGTTGAGAATTTGGGCAAATTTGAAATTGCTGAAGTTGAAATTCAGCTTGCTGGACCAGACAGCAAGTCTTGGCTGATGGCATCTGACAGTGATTATTAAAGCAACTATTTTTTACCTTTAATTGGAAGGCAATTTATAACCACAAAGCACACATGGACCCAATGCCTCGTAAACCAAATAAGTCATTAACCTGTGTTAATGATGATAATTATTCACATGCACAGCGCACAATGAGTGCAATTCCTGCACACATTCCTCGACAGTGAGGGATGACCATTTACTTTGTATAAGAACAAACTAAACTAGTAATCTCAATGTATTTTAATGAGACAGGTAACTGCATTGGTGTGTTTATTCTTTTTATTATTAAAATGAGGGGGAAGTATTTTTACCATATGACAACTTAATGACAACTGTAATAATGTAAATTATTAACAGACAATATACGTATACCGTAATCAAGATCCCAAGAGAGGACACATTCAATCAATCCACATGTAGGAATTTCAATGAAAATCAGAGTAAGAATTCAATATTCATGATATTAATTAAGCACATATATGCTCAATTTCTTTTAACACCAATTTTTTTCATTCAAACAGAATTGTTCTATAATTATCAATTTTTTTTGCAAACATGCACCTGTGTGGACTTATACCTTTCCACTTGATCCAATGTTATTTCATTGAGTGATTTTGTTGAATATTAGATCAGCAACCACTAACGGGTTTTGTCGTATCCACCCAATGTTGGGAAGCGTGAAGTCGCACTCCGTCTTAGGCCCAGCTTCGCAGGAACAAGCCGCTGGCTCCACAAATCCAAATCCAAAGTTGACGCTTATGTGTTCATGGGGCAAAATCTGGCCAAGCAATGCAGGATCCACTGGGCCCATCACTTGAACATGGAATGAAATGTAGATGAGGACATGAGGTTAGCCTGGACTCTTCAATAGGGACATATGTAATCAGCATTAAATCAATTGAATGTTGATCTCCAAAAACCTAAATTGTGAAACATTCCAGGTTTACAGCTAAATAGGCTAAAGTTAGTTTTTGAATACTGATGGTTACATCTAAACTTCAGGAATTGTAGGCTGAAAAAGTTTTAAGATGTATATTACCATTCAAATCTATACAGTAGCATATCTTAGAAATTGGATTTGGACATTTGTAACCTAACAGGCTAACAAGGGGTATAAAATTAACAGACCAAATTGCACCTAAAAGGGCAAAAAAATTGATTTTTTCTTTTATTTAAATGTGTTACCCTAAATTAGAATTACCCAACCCACCTTTACCAAGAAAAATCATAGTTGCTTTTTGTCTTACAAGTTACACTAATCTATATTCTATATCAGTTTCATGTTGCTAGTACTATTACCAATAAAAGTTTCATTCTTAACCCAAATATAGGCTATAAAATTTGGTTTTATCAATTTAAGATTATCATCAAATAGTTTGGAATCACTTTCAAGTTTCAACCACTTACTGCTTAGATTAGAATAGACTCTTTTTTTAACAATAACAAAATTGCACAAGTTTGGCAAAATTTTGGCAATTTGAGTACGCACTACCTAGCCAGCTAGCCTAGTACTACCTCTAACCTCAGTAGTCAGTACCTCTGCCGCAGCCCGCACGACCCGATAGACTTGAAATATTTTTACCTAGAAAACTAAAATCAAGTTTCGCAATACATATTATTTTTTAATGGAAACTAAAATAGTAAATTTATTATTTTACCCGTCATTGCTTTGCCTTTTGTATCCATTGTGCTTATCTTTTGCAAAATTTATCGGAAATGAATGGTTATTTCATCCGTTCTTCTACAGATTTGACGAGTTACCCAATTAGTGCGGATGTGTTGAATGTTTATTTCACATTTATATATAAATCATATTTATCACGTTTATTATCTATACAAGATCGGAATTCAATACCTTATAATTGTCAAATTCATGATCGTTCTACCATCGAAATAAAAAATCACGACATGTAACATAAATGCTACAACCCGAAGTCTTGAAATCAATTTTTAAAGAATGATTTGGAATTGCGGAGGTCGAGCAGCAGCAGCCATTAGCGGCACAAACAGATGAAGGGCCCGGGAACAAAAGGCATGTGTTTAGAGGATGCTTATCGCATCCAGCATTTTAGCCAGTCACACTTGCTTTTGCACGAACAATCTTACCTGTCATCTTAACGCAGTAGTCCAAGCTAAATACCATTTTCTCATCTCGAAGCTACGTCTCGACCAGATTCTAAATCTCGGAAAAGAATTGCTGGAAACGCAAGCAGATAAAGATATATCATAATAATATTAAAGCGGTTTCAGCGTTCATTAGGCCGTAGGCCTGTCCCCGAATCAAACATCGCAAAATATTCACAGCTTCTTGTGGTCTCGAACACTCAACTCACTGCTCAAATTCTGCTGTAAAATAAAAATGTTAATCTTATATCAATGTTATACTTTAATTATCTCATATATCCTAACGTGGAAAACCCTTTGTTGTCTACTGCACATCCTTCAGTATGAAATCAAATGTGATTATATCTGATTTCATTATTGTTTTAGTTTTCACTATTATTGCAATGTATTTTTTTTTCATTTTGCAGTCCCTACCCAGTCGTTCAGTGACGGAGAAACCCAGCGTAAGTAAACATCCTACGTGAAGGAATGAATTATTTTCTCCAAATTCAAGTAATACCAGCGATATAACAACATATCATCTAAATAAATACGATTTATAATCGTTTAATATGTTATGTCGGTAAATTCAATAATATTGTATCCTCTTCGCATACCATACCTACAACCATTTCTGAAGAGCCAAGCAACTCATGGTACTTGACATTCTTGTAAAATTATTTTTATTAATAAAAAAAAGCACTAAAGCAGCTTTGCAATGATGACTAGAGACAAAGAAGGCCAGGCATAATTGCAGGCTTTCACTGCGGGCAGCGAAGTGCGGCGCGCGTATAAGATGTCAACGCCTATGTGTAGTTTATTTTCGTTAAATAACTTTTATGGGGTCCGATATTAACCTTATTTTTTGTAATAACACCACTGTTTAGATTTCTATTTAAACGAAAATAAGTACACATTATCTTACTCAATAAATACACATACTTTTATTCACGAACTAAGGTTCAGGTTCTGGTGAAGACGAGTTATTTATTAGAAGAACTCGGCGTCTCGGCTACCGTGCGGGTGATCGCTATCTCTGGCGCACATGCCTCATTAGCGCTCGGCCGACCATCACATGTAGAGATGCTCTGGGACTTTTCTCTATAATAAAACACAATGGCATAGTTAAAAAATGATAATTTAACTTTAGATGAGGATTTAATAATTTGGAACGATGCACACAAACCGATTGATTACAACAAAGAATTAATTTTCACTAGAAATATTGTTATATTAAGCATTCGGTTTGGTACATATGGAAATATGACCGATTAACTGTGATATCCTGTTGTACTTGTTCAAATATTACTAAAAAATTTGGGAATTTTATACCGCGCGAAAAATTATCTCATGTTTTCTATTGGAATACATAAGTTACGAGCACAAATTATTATCCTATATGTTTTCTATTAGTATATATAATCAAATACATTAATTTGCATGCAGAGAGTAAATATAATATCAATTAATGCTGTAAGAAAATTGCTCTTAAAAAGTGCAGCCGATAAAACTTGTGTTTTTCTCTACATGGAAATAATTTATTTGTCGTAAGAACTTTACCGAAAGTTTGATCATTTTTACCATTTTCTGTTGTTGGTCGAACTCAAAGTTCGAATCATTCGTCAAGGAGAGGCTTCATACTAATAATAGCGTTCTAATTAATTACAAGCATTAATATTAAAGAAACAAGTCGCGAATAACCTGTTTGGTTTACCCAGAATTATTATAATAAATAGCGCCTCTAGGAATTTTGAGTCGAAAGAGATTGTATCTCGAGTCAGAAGAGGTGGTATTTTGAGTCAAAAGAGGAGGTATTTTGAGTCGAAATTAAGAGGAGGAATTTTGATTCAGAAGAGGTGGTATTTTAAGTTGAAAGAGAAGGTGTTTTGAGTCAGAAGAGGTGGTATTTTGAGTCGGCAAAGGTGGTATTTTGAGTCGAAAATAATTAAGAGATGGTACCTCGATCGAGTCAGAAGAGATGGTATTGAGTCGAAAGAGTTGGTATTATAAGCCAAAATTAGTCTTATTTTTTTATCAAAAGCTGCGCAATTTTGATTTAAACGAGCAATGAGCGTACGAGTTAGTGTTTTTTCGACGAGAGTATGAAGAAGTTAATTCATTAATTACCTTACAATTTTAATGTGCTTCCGCGAGTGGTGGAAACAACGTATTTTTCCATGAAGTATGTGTAAATTAAGGTCTTTAGTAGTCGATCTATTGGAAAAGATTATCAAAGATTATCAACATTTCTAATCAAGCAATAGAGTAAATCTATATAGTATGTCAATACCTACATCATCGTTTATATATACTAGCTAACATGTACTATGGGTAAAATATGTCTATGTATTTCACATAGATATAAAAATCGCCGCCAGCTGTATATATATAGTGAGGAAAGTTGTGATGTCTTCCATTATATGTTCATTGATATATACGGGTCTTCTATAGAACATGATTGCATGGCATATTCATTATGTTCGATCATTTATGAATCTTGTAGAACATGATTGCTATGGCCATCCTGTTCAATCATATATCTTAATCTAGACCATATAGTATATCGTTTAGTAGTATATTTATTATAGTATATATTATATTATATATTTAGTATTATATAGATTAATTGGTATAGTCATCATGTTCACTCATATATATACGATTCTTCTAAAACATGATCGGTATGTAGACATAATATTCAATGATAAAAGTCTTCTCGAACATGACTGGTATAGCCATCATGTTCACTCATATATATACGATTCTTCTAAAACATGATCGGTATGTAGACATAATATTCAATGATAAAAGTCTTCTCGAACATGACTGGTATAGCCATCATGTTCACTCATGTATGTCTTCTAGCATATGACTGACATGGCTCTTCGAGAATAAGTTGTTCTTGGAAATTCGGCGACTGAGATTCAATTGGCATGCAATATTTGATTGCACTTCATGAACGATTGCCCGCGTTTTGTTGTGATGTTGTCAGAGCGTCGCACGGTCTCATGCGATTTAAAGAACACTCCGAGAAGCTCGTGAAATCTATTAAAACCTCTCGAATGATCGATAAAGTTCGGAAAGCGTCCGCGATTGGTGGCAAGGGCGGAGCCCAGAGTGCGGAACGGACATCGCATGGGCGGAGAGCAGCACTGCGGATCATCCAATGAAGCAGCGCTGCGGTCCGCATTTTTGATCGCCGGCGTCCGCATTGTCAACGAGCAACGGAAGCATGCGGACCGACGGATGGAATCAACCATAACCGGCTTTGCGGTTATGGTTGCCTTTTTTGTTATTTTTATTTATTTATTTTATTTACTTTTATTTGTTTTAAGTTACCCTGCGTCGGTTCCTTTGATATTTAGGTTGCCGGAGTGCATGAAAGGTTTACTCAATGTAATTCAGGGATAAAACATGTATTGCGTCAAGTTTTTGAATAATAAATAATTGTAAAAAACACCGGTAAGTGCCAAAAGAACTGCGGGATAAACAGCCGTTAATTTTACTTAAAGCTGTGAAAACAGCTGTGAATGTCAAGCAACGCTGTAAAAACAGCTGTGAATGTCAAGCAACGCTGTAAAAACAGCTGTGAATGTCATGCACCGCTGTGAAAACAGCTGTGAATGTCATGCACCACTGTGAAAACAGCTGTGAATGTCATGCACCACTGTGAAAACAGCTGTGAATGTCATGCACCGCTGTGAAAACAGCTGTGAATGTCATGCACCGCTGTGAAAACAGCTGTGAATGTCATGCACCGCTGTGAAAACAGCTGTAAATATCAAGCGCCGCTGTGAAAACTGCCGTTAATGCCCTGTACTGCAGCATAAGCAGCGTATATGCATGCTACAAAAGAATATTGATCGGCAGTTGAAATGAGCGTTCATTATAATGGCTCGTCAAGCAATCAGTTCAATTAAATCAGTATTTTGTTTACGACGATGTGCAATTAATTGAATTACTTATCGAGTCCAACATTCCGAATATTAAGTAGGACGACATTATTTGAAGAACGACCAAAGAACAAAGAACGCATAGATAAATATACCACATGAGATCCGTACGATAATTAGCAATCGCGTTTTTTATTTAACATTAATTCGGCATTTATAACAGCTACCCTTCACAAAAAAACATGCATTTGATGAATGAATGGTTTAATAAATGCAGGGTTGGTAAATGAGCTTATAGCTAACGTTTGCTTGGATGTGGTGTGATATATGATACATGTTGATATGATGCGAATAGTGATATTGCCTATCACCACACATAACCTTGCACGCAATGTGATATTTCAAAAAATTATTAGATTTAAGCAAATACGATGAATGGATTCTGCCAAAATTATACCGTTGCATCTGTAGTTATCATGGTAATAGTGTAGCAATGATTACAAGTTACTTTTTTGATAGAAAAAACATATGAATCCTATACTTTTCTACTAACTATAGCACTGCAGGAAGAACCGAAAACAATAAATGATGAACTTTGTACAAATATTGATGCACTTTTTGTTCTTAATCAGGCGATCCAGACTCACTCTGAGGCGCATATCTGAAGTGCAAAATGCGTCATTTTTGGATAGTACGACCCACCCATTTCTTTGTGTGTGAACAACAATAACTGAAATGTGGCACCCAATCACCGTAGACTAATGGGCACTCAGGACGCGATACTGTCTGCCGAAAAACACATAAAGTTGAAATAACGTTAGTTCACCACAATCAACTCCTGTTCAACGATGTGTCAAGAGAAAAACTTTTAGTCATCTTTCTTTCAACAGAAGCAATTATCAATCATCGTTGTTCCAACAAATCAATCAATTAATAATCGTAATAATAATAATAATCATCAACGATATTTAACAAAATCAACTAATAATCAACGATGTATCAGTAAAATCAACGTTTTTCAACATCATTTGTCTTTGGGATAAGAATAATACGGTCATTAGAATTATTTTATTATTTGATTCCAAGAAATATTTTATTATGATTATTATTTCTTATCTATTTAATATTTGTTAGCTGTTAAATAATATTTACATTGCATTTAAACTATATAAATATAATTAAAATTTCGGTGTAGTTATAAGATCGAGGTATAAACAGAGTAATCAAATATATATGTCATCAGAAATACAAGGCAAATAAGATAAATGATACATATATTTATTAACATCGAATCGAGTGATTACATCGAATAATAAAAAAATTTCATGAAATAAAGCTCGATATATGAAGCTCTTCGATTTTCGTGCGCTTTCCATAAACAAATTTCCAGACGAATTATAATTTTATGGATTTAAAATATAAAATTTACTTTAATACGTTCAAGAATAATTCTAAACTCAATTGATTTTGTTTATGCGGTGTAGTTGAATAATATTGATAAGTTTTGGAATTAGGAGGTAATGATTACTAAAGCATGGCAGAAAGTTATTGCCTCTGTGATTGCATTACCATGGGACTAAATAGTTGCGGTAAATCATGAAGTATATAATTACTTACGGTAAATCATGAACAATATAATGACCAGCATAAGTGAACATAGAAAAGTCTGTCAAAGTCAGAACCTCAAGCGTCGCAGGGATTTGTCGCTAGCCACTCAGTCACAATATTTGGAAAATGGTGGCCCACGAGACCAAAACACTGCTCAAACAAGTGGCTTCTGATTGGTCTAGAGCAATCAATGTTTACACCAACAACTATTCCATTGGTGGCAGCCAGTAATCCAATCAGAAGGGCGGTGCGATTCCAGCATTCTTTCCAGTAGCAGGCAGCGATCCAGCGCGGTTCTGGAAAGGTAGGAGGAGCCTTGTTCAGCTCATTTGGGTCGTGAAAAGTGGTGCGCCTGACACATCTTCATCACAGGCACGCCAGTCTTGTTCTTGTGAACGTCGTCTGTCCAGCTGGATAAACGCGAGGCTTGGTCTTGTGAACGTCGCCTGCCCAATAAGTGCATGTTGTGTTCAAGTGAACGACCTTTGCCTAACTTGATAAACGCGATTCGGGTTTTTGTGAACGTGGCTTGATAAATCACGAGGTATAGAAACGTCTTGGCCAACGTAATGGAGTCCGTCGCTTGTGTTCGGTCGTCTTCGGCGTCTCCGCCGACGTCTGTTGTCGCACCGGTAGCAGTGAAGGCTATCATCAGTAGCCAGCATCAAATGAGTCAACAGCAGCAGCAACAACAGATGGGTCAACAGCAAATAGCAGCAGTGGCAGCCGTTGAACAACAGCAAAGACTTCATCAGTTGTACCAGTTAGCGCTTGCCGAGCGCATCAGGATCGCCGCCGCAAACTGGCCACGGCCTGAACTTCATCCACCACTCCATTTGCCGCCAATACAGGGACACGTTCCCTTGCCACAACCTCATCCAGCCTATCATCCACTCTACCCCTACAGGTTCATGGTAGACCCCAGAACCCTGTATAGGGTTCCTGAAGAACCCAAGCCCCAGCACAGTTACATCGGGCTCATAGCGATGGCCATCCTCAGTGTCCCCGAGAAGAAACTGGTGTTGAGCGAAATTTATTCATATATTTTGGAACACTACGCATACTTCCGAACGAGAGGCCCCGGCTGGAGGAACTCTATACGACATAACTTGTCACTGAATGATTGTTTCGTAAAGGCTGGTCGCTCAGCAAACGGCAAAGGCCATTACTGGGCCATACACCCCGCAAACATGGACGACTTCAGCAGGGGTGACTTCAGACGCCGACGGGCCCAACGTAGAGTCAGACGTCACATGGGCCTGACCGTGGACGACGATAGTTCTCCTGAACCTCCTCCACCAACACCCCCACCAATAAGTCTTCCTTTACCCTCTGCCGAACTGCACATATCTTCTCAACTGGTCGTGGCACCGTCCCGCAAACGACAGTTCGACGTAGCCAGTCTCCTGGCTCCCGACGACCACACCGAACAGGTAGACCAACTACTTAAGTCGCGACGACATAGCCTGAAACAAGAGGCTCCATCAACACCAACAGAAGAATCTATCAAATCAGAAAGTGATTATAGGGAAGAAACGTCCTCGCCAAATCGCCTTCCAAGACAATCTTCCAACAACAACTGGCTGTCGTGGCCGTGGCGGCCTCAGGAGCTGGCTCAGTTAGAATCTTCACCGTCTAACTGACATCAGCTCTAGGCATAAAATATTTGATTTAAATCTTATTGTAATATATTCTGTCCAAATTTATGTATAGATCGTGCATATAAACTGTTGGATGTGAAATGTATGTGAATTGACGTCTGAAAAATGTATTTTTAGATATCATGTATATATAAGAAATTTCTTAATTGTTTTCGGCCATAGCTTTTCAAACCACCGGTGTACTCGTATTGAGCTGGTGAGTTAATTCGAGCTCGAATATCTCGTGGAATAATTCAGACGTTTGTTATATAAGACTATAATTTTTGATAACAGTTCGTCATTTGTTAAAAAATTCAATATTCTCTATTCTAAACTTTTTGATGACAAATTCTTCACGAATAATTACATTCGATTCAAAAATTGGCGGTAATAAAATTGTGAGATTATCATGGTATTTTTTCCAACATTATCCACCGCGTATGGATTTTTGTTCGTTCAAACATCACTTAAAGAGGGAACTCATTATTTTATAGTGATTATCTCCCATAGAGGAAGGGAACTATGAATATATCTAAAACTATTTTATTGCATCCCTAATAGCCACAAAAACTTTCAAGATACATTTAAAAAAAATGTTAAACTCCATTTTTCGTATATTTTTGTGTGTTTTTATATGCTGAAATGAGAAGGAAAATTAAAGAATAAATTGATTTAGTTTAATTGTTTCTAATATTATCGGAACTTCAAGCTCATCATAAATAAATGCATAATATTTTTATTTGTCGATCGCATGAGCTTTGCATGTCCTTCACTAAATGCGATCATTGAATGAATTCCTTTAATAATAAGTGGGAGAAATGTTTCACTTCTCACGGACTATATAGGCGTGGTTAATATGATGTGAGTAGACGGGTATAACTATATATATACCATTGGACATCGGTCAAACTAGTTAACAAATGATAATGAGTTTTTATCAATTAGTTTAAATGCAAAACTCGGTACCTTGTGATGAGTAATTTGATCAATTCGTATTAAATTAACTGCAGCCAGAATAAAACATGATTTTTGCTAATTAGAGCCTCTATGGATTAATATATTGAAAAAAATGTGAATAAAGGGCCCCTTGAAAATAGTAGAAACGGCCACATACATTGACTCTTATACTTAATGTTTAAGAAACTCCAATGTTTCTAGCTGCCGGCTTGGTTATATAATTTAAGTTAATATACAATTGTGCAATTTAGATTACGGATCATTTTGTGCAGGGCACTGAAGCATATTTTACAATGAGTTAACAATAGATTTACATGCATCGCACTTTTTTAACTTACAAATGCTAACAGTACAAAATTAAAATTAACAATTAACATGCAGTAAAGACATTCATGTAAAACATTATTTACTACATTGTAACAAAATTGTTAGCAACTACACTCATTGTAACATATAACCCTGTAATTTCTATAGCCTTCATTTGCAGTATTTACTGGATATATGATTTAACATTTAGTACGATTTGGAGTTAATAATGTATGTGTGCGTTAGAAAAATTCATGCAAACTATAGAGATTAAATTTTATTTGCGTAACTTAATTTTATGCAAATTACGAAAGAGCAGACAAACGGAGTTTGGAAAAAGTTTCATTATTCAATATTTAAACAATAGCAGAGAGAAAAATGCAAGTTTAACTTGATGAGTTTTTGTGCGGTATCATGCATATAGAATTGGATATNAAACGCAGAGAGAAATGTGCAAGTTTAACTTGATGAGTTTTTGTGCGGTATCATGCATATAGGATTAGATATGAAATTCATGTATGGAATCCCTAATATTATCATGTATGGGATTGAATATAAAATTCATGTATGGAATCCCTTATATTATCATGTATGGGATTGAATATAAAGTTCATGTATGGAATCCCTAATATTTTCATGTATGGGATTGGATATCAAGTTCATGGATGGAATCCCTTATCATGCATAAGATTGGATATGAAGTTCATGTATGGGATCACTTATCATGCATGTATGAGATTGGACGTAATTTAATGTTTGGGATCCTTTATCATGTGTGAAATTGGTTATATAAAGTTCATGTATGGGATTCCCAATATTATCATGTATGGGATTGAATAAAAAGTTCATGTATGGAATCCCTTATCATGTATGGCATTGGATATAATTTCATGTTTTGGATCCTTTATCATGTGTGGAATTGGTTATATAAAGTTCATGTATGGGATCCCTTAACTTATTTTAATGACCGTCTGAACGCCACACCTTACCGGCTGGCGTCGAAACAAAGAATAGCGCCTACAAGTAGCGCAGTGGGTACTAATCAACTACTAAACAATGCTACGCGCTATGCGATGAAGTTGCGGCTACATATATGTTACTCTCGCTCCAAGCTACAAATGGGCAAAACAAATTCAATGGAATTTTATTGACTGGAACGATAATATTGCAATTAATTTTAAACCACCGGACTTAACATGCGTGTTTAGAACTTGAAATCAAACTGAATTCTCGAAATCAAACTTGAAATCAAACTTGAAATCAAATTGAAAATGAATTGTTTTCTCTTTCTTGTTTAAAATGCTCCACCACTTCCAGTAACTTTCATTACTTGAGCCAAACACGAGTGTATGTTAATAACATCCTTGTTGGTAACTAGAAGAATAATTATTATGACAATTATTATACATAGGCACTTAGAGCTGTCACGTTTGTTCAATATTAAACAAGTTAACATTGTATGTAATCAATTGAGAAACATGAAAAACTTTTAAATCGTTGGAATTTAAATGAATCATGCAGCCAAGAAATTCCACATATGCATCCATCAAAATTGTGAGCATACACGCTAGATGCATACATCATACATCACGCTTAAAAATATTTTTAAATAGAATAGCAGGAATTAATACACAATATACAATAATGAGATAATCAAAATATATTTATTTATGAATCCATATGCATATCATAAAAATACCATAATATACATATCATACACATTATTATAATCGTATCCATATGTATATCATAAAGATTAATAATGTATTTGCAGAAAATTTATCCTTGAAAGTAAGTTTTATGAGCACTATCAATGCACATGAACATAACATTTAAAAAATATAGTCTATAACAGACGAGATAACAGAGGCTGCTGGGTCCATATATCTAAACAGTATTGTTTAAAATCGTACAAAATAGAATTAATAAAGTTATCAATATTATCACGATATTTTATTCGGAATCTAAATAAATATTTCAGTATCTTTGTCAATACTGTCAGAAAAATTGATCGAAAATGAGCGACATTTCAAGCCGGGAAAAGTTAAGTAGGAGTCTGATTTGTACAGAACCTTTTTGAGAGCTATCTTGAATATTATGTTAATAATTATTTCTAATTATAAATTAACAAATATTAATTTTAGGCATTAATTATAATAAAAATATGAATAATAATTATCTTCCGAATAATATTTTAATTAAAAGACAAATAAATAATACCAATCGGTATTATTTAAATTAATATTTAAAAAGATTAAAATTATTTCAACACTCTAAAGGCCGCTAAAATATGACTAGACGGACTTTCATAGTGCAAGGCTTGAACACAAGTTCGATGTAAATTTTGGAGGCGCGAAAAAGCCCACAAGCTCAGAAAATTATTGGGTAATTTTGTCCAAATACTGAGAAAAATTCTGCACGTTGCACCGATACCGTACACTTTGACCGTAGCCGGGTCAAAGTGTGTCATGATGACACACGTTACGGCGAAAATTGAATCGAAATTCGGACAAAATCCCACTGATTTATTTATGAAGCAATAAATGATGCTTAACAACAATTGGTAATAGGAAAACTAAAAATGTTTCAATGAAGCGAACATGCGTAAATCCACATGATATTACAACCAATGGACGGCCCGTTATATATACGTACGTCCTTCCACCGACGGGCCGTTACGTACGTCAATGCATTTTTTGCCCTGTGTGGGTCATCTTGACAAAGTGATCAGAAAAAGAGGAGTGTTAATATTTGGACAATATAGCGCATTAATTTCTGAGTGCATGACACTTCCGTGTAGATGGAAAGACACTAGAAGGTGTGAGAGGTTAACTGACTTGATGGAGTAAAAAATGTGAGTTATGTTTTTATTTTTTTGATGGAATGAAAAAATTGAGTTTTGTTATTCAATTTTTTGATGGAGTGACAAATGTAAGATTTGTTATTTAATTTTTTGATGGAGTGACAAATGTAAGATTTGTTATTTAATTTTTTGATGGAGTGACGAATGTGAGTTATGTTATTTATTTTTTTGATGGAGTGACAAATGTGAGTTTTGTTATTTATTTTTTTGATGGAGTGACAAATGTGAATTATGTTATTTAATTTTTTTTATGGAGTGACGAATGTGAATTTTGCTTTTTATTTTTTTGATGGAGTGACCCATGTAAGTTTGCTATGCGTCAGCTAACTTGCGCAATCAAAAGTTTAACATAGAATTACATTACACTGTATTATCGATTAATAAGGAGACCTTATTATTATTGGGGTAACATGTAAATGTTACAAAACATAGCAGTACAGATTAAAAGGTTTTAAACAGTCCTGCATAAATTCCATACATGGGAGCCCATTGAAAAGCTATTTAAGATCGTGACAACGTAGTTAGAAGGAAAAGTTTAAATAAACTAATAGTACTTCCGAAATGTTTCAATTAAATTTAAAGATAATAAAATCTAAATACATTAAATAGAAACGATGACTAATAATTCAAATTTTCGTCCTTTCAAACATCGGATAAATAATTTGTGATTAGATTTGGAGATAAATATATTTGAATTGAAACACCAATCACTTCCGTAGTTAGAACCGGAGTTCCCACGCCTATATCTTGGCTCCTAAATCCGAGAAAACGACCAAATCCGTTCCCAAAACAGGCAAAAACAGATAAAATTCAATTAAACTAGCAAATTTGCAATGTGTGATGCAAAATTTCAATTTTCGGGTTATTTTCAAATTGAAATAAAGCGATAAAATACAATTATACTAGCAAATTTGCAATGTGTGATGCAAAAATTCAAATTTTCTGGTTATTTACACGTTGAAAAATAAAGTGTATTCAAGACCAACGTAGATTTTTACCGGCCAACGTAATTGAAAAAAGGCCCAAATTGGCCGGGAAAAGGCCTTGACTCTGATCACGCGTGTGGCCCAAATCTCACGATTTCCAACACTCTGGTTAATGCGTCACGCCACGCTTCAAATCATTCATTTATGAGTTTTAATTAGAATTTTCATCTACAGTACATTTATGGAATATATAACATTGAAAGTAGATGCGTAATTAAATTAAATAATTATTTAGACTGATTAAGTTGAGAGTATTGGGCTGGTTTTCCAGATCACATGTTTTAATTGATTTTATTCAAGACGAACTTAGGTCGTTTTTGTTCATAATTACTAAAGATCAGAAAAAGAGTGGAGTTCATTAATACACTGAATGTATATCGGAACAACACGACACATGTACACTACATAATTTTATACATTAAAA